TACTTGCTAACCACCCTGCTCGTGCAAAGTAAACGGTAAACGCAAACCCACTAAAACCCTGTAAGGCTATCTACAACCGCTCAAAACCCCTGCCGAAAAATGCTTGAAAGCTTCACGGAAAGACCCTCAAGATTATGAAAAGCTCCCTAATCTCTAAACCGTAATCCCTGACAGCCTAAACCCCAATCCCGAATCGTTAAACCCTAGTTCCCTAAACCCTAAACCTAACCCTAGTTCCCTAAATCCTAAACCCTGAACCCTAAGCCTCGTTCCCTAGCATTATTTTTAAGGACCCTAGACTATGGGAATTATGGTACATTCCTTATTGTGGTAATGCAGGATTTATATCATCGACAGTAGTTCCCTAAACACCAAACCCTCCGGGCGCTCCGAAAAGAGGCAAAGGGCCGAGAGCAGCTGACGAAGCACAGCCTCTCAGCGCTTTGAGGTTTAATACAGGGGCCTTAATAAGTAGAATAGGGGTTCCTTTAAAGGGTTCTTAAAGGGGTCTATAAGGGCTACTATAAGGGGTTCTAGAAGGTTTTTCAGTAGGGGCCTTTTTTGGGGCGGGTTCCTATTAAAGGGTATAAGGATTACTAGAAGGGCTATAGAGGCCTTAATAATTAATAGGACTATAAGCAAGCCCCCCCAAAATAGTGTGAGTAATTTTTAAAAGGCCCCTAGATTTGCGCTTTGGGCTGGGCTTCTTGGAATCTCTTCGAGGTAATGAGGGGTCTCGGGTCTTGTAGGGCTCTACATTTTGGGTGGTTGTGACAGGGTTACTGCAACTGTTCTCAAACAATCCCTGCTTATAAGGGTTACTGCGAGACTTACCTGTACCAATGATAGCAATGACAAGCATGACAACGGCGAACGACGGCACTAGATCTAGCCTAAACCCTAAACCCTAAACCCCTAAACCCTAGAACTTCCCAGAAGCCATGAACACAGCCAGAAAGACTCGAGAGTCGCAACTTTCCCGACTGTTCAATGCTAAACCCAAAACCCTGAACAACCCTGGACCCTAGAACATAAAACAACCCGAAACTCCCAAACCTTTGAAACCAAAAACCCAATAACCGCTTAATCAAAAAACCTAAACAAAGAACTCCGAAACACCCAAACCAAACCATATTAGGCACAAATACCTGCAAACCAAACCCCCGCCTAAACCCAAAAACCCTGAAACTCTATCCCTAAAATATTAAGACCTTAAATCAACCACCTGCCGAAAACACAGGCCGACGCCTTCAGCACCCTGGGATCCCGCTTCCTGAAGGGTTTAGGGTTTAGGTTTCCTCAAGAACGATGATACGGCTGCATTTAAGAGCTTGAATTCTGAAGATAGTGCTAACAGGGGACGCAGTGGTAGCAGCAGCAGCCGGAGGACTAGCAGCAGCAGCAGCAGCAGCAGCAGCAGTGGCAGCAGTCGTCATCGTAGTAGTAGTAGTAGTAGTAGCAGCAGCAGCAGTAGCAGCAGCGATAGCATGAGCACTAGCAGCACAAGTGCTTTTTGTTTTTGCCATTGCAGTTCCACTTGTAGTAGCAGTTGAAGTTATAGGTGTGGGTGTAGCCGCGGCTGTAACTCAAGCTGCAGCTGTAATTGCAGTTGTATTTGTACTGCAGCTGCAGCTGTAGCTGTGGTACGGCTACGCGCCTCACACCTAGCTGAACCAGCAGCAGCGGTAGCAGTACTCAAACAGCAGTAGTAGTGGAACGTCATGGTGGCAATAGGAAGATGCAGAGGAGCAAAAAGAGGAACAGCAAGTATGCAGAATAGCCTATAATGTGCGAACCAGCTTGCATGTCTCAGTCGAGGAGCATGGATTCGTACAGCGGCAAGTGGACCACCTGGCACACAACGAACCAGAGATACGCAATCTGGCCGCATGCCCGCATCCTCCACTGCATCGGAGTTCCCCACACCCTTAAACCTTGAAACTCCCCAATCTTACATCCTAAACCCGCACCACTCTGCTCCAATGCCTAGGCTGTGGAAGGCTTCTAGCTTTCGGACATGAGCCTGGTCTCTGCTCCATCATGACCCAAAACTTGCCAGCTTCTTGTGGGGGTAGGGTGTAGGGTGCAGGGGTTTAGGGTTTAGGGCGTAGGCGATAGGCCGTAGGGTTCGGGGCTTCGGGCCTATACAACAAAGCACCGGGAGCCTTAAAACACACACCCTCGAACAGATCCCAAGGCTCCAAGACCTTTGGCAAATCCCTGGCTGCCTTATCCCAAAGCCCACATGGGAGTTTCCGAAACTTAGGGGTACAAGTACCTCATTTTGGGGGTCCTTTTCATAAGGATCCTACTATTTAGGGGTACTCTACTAGGGTCCCCTACTTTCGGAAACTCCCACATCTCTAACTCGACACTCCTGAACCTCTACACCCCTCAACCCTCTTTTCATCAACCCTACAAGCCCCTAAACTAGAGACCCGGAACGCAGGGGTGAAGGGACCTTGTACAAACGCTCTCCTCGGTGGAACTCCCCCTTGATCTCATAGGCCTCGGTGATTTCGGGTTTCGAGGCTTTGAGGCGTCCGCTTCGTTCAGGGTTCCTAGGGCTTCGAGTCAAGGGTTTCGGCTTCCTTCAAAGGGATCCATAAGAATACTATAAGGGATCCGTAAGAGGTTTAGGGTTCAGGGCTTTCGGGTTCAGGGCTTTAGGTTCAGGGCTTTAGGGTTTAGGGTTTAGGCTATGCAGTGTTTTGTTGGGGTGCTGAAGGGCTGCCTTAAGACTCTATTATATGGGAGTTTCCGAAAATTGGGGGTACCTAATTTTGGGGTCCTTATAATAAGGATCCTATTATTTAGGGTGCTATATGAGGGTCCCTCGGAAATTCCCATATTGCATAAGGTTCCATTACAATACCTATAACCCCTTTGGACCCCGAGAACCCCCACAGATTTCTTCCTGGGGGAGCTTCAAAGAAAACGATGGACCCTACTACAGACCCTCAATACTTGTAGGAGCCTTATCACCGAGACCAGTCAAAGAAACCCTCATCTTCCGGAAACCTCATCTGTGAAAAGACCCTGTCAAGCCTTGCATAAAGCCCTAAACCCTAAACCGCTTTTTTGAAGCCCTAGAAAATCCCATGAAAACATGGGCCCTGGCCCCTGAAAATGAAAAATGTTGAAAGCTCAAGGGCCCACTTGAAGGATCATGGGACTTAGTAAGTAAGGTTATAAGTACCTTAATTGGGATTATAAGTATAGTTACCCTAAATATAACCCTAGTTACTAAGTCCCATGATCCTTTAAGTACGGTTTCCTGCTTGCAAACCGGCAGCCATCTTCGTCAGGGAGGTTCCGCCGAACTCCTGCGCAGGGCACCATGCATAACGCCTAATGGCCCAGGCCTACTTAAAGGATCATGGGTCTTAGTAACTAGGGTTATAATCAGGGTAAGTATACTTATCACCCCAATTAGGGTACTTATAACCTTACTTACTAAGTCCCATGATCCTCCCAGTAGACCCTAAACCCTAACCCTATAGATCCCTTTAAGGAACCCTATAGATCCCTTTAAGGAACCCTTTAAGGAACCTTACTTACTAAGTCCCATGACCCTCCAAGTAGTCCCAGAGACCCTGCAGTCCAAAAGCCGAAGCCCTGCCATCAAAAAAGGCCGAAAGCCTAAAGCTTGCAGCTTAAACAAGGGAATTAGGGTTTAGGGTTTAGGGTTTAGGGTTTAGGGTTTAGGGTTTAGGGTTTAGGGTTTAGGCCAAGTACAGCCTACATCATTGGAACCGAGGATTGTGAGACCTAAGGACCAACATCGGACGCACGGATTCTACACGAAGGGTCGATGTTAGCGTCCTCTATTCCCGAAACTCTCCTACGATGCTCTACCTTTAAACTCTGGCACTAGAAGCCCTAAACCGTAAAAACAAGGCACATGGACCAATGGCACCGCGGTGAGGATGCAATCTCCAAGATGACAGGCCAACAGCCATGAGCAAAGACAAACTCAGGAAGAGCAATAATAGTAATAATAGTCATAATAGTAATAATAGTAATAATAGTAATGATAGTAATAATAGTAATGATAGTAATAAGAGTAATAATGATTATCGCGATACGCAGTCTGCAACCTGGCAGCAAGCGGAGGAATAAAGCATTACGGAGGAACATGACAGCACCCACAAAGAAGCCCATCGTCATGACGACCATGCACAACGGAGAGGAGCACACGGAAGTGCACCCATCCCCAACCGCTGGTGCGAGAAAGGCGCAGGCACTGTGCCACCCTACCTGTGAACACCGCGGACCACGAAACTTCAAAAAAACACGCAGCTGCAGCAAGGTAGCGGTGAAGGGGTTAGGGGGAATGGCACCCGCGCGAGACAAGGTCGATACACCCGCGGTCAAACACAGGTTCCTGTGCGTGCCCAAATTCGCGCGCACTGCGCGGCTCGCAACTCAGAGTCCTCGATATGTTTTTGGCCCACCCGAAGAGGCAAAAGGACCACCAGTAAAGGAAAAAGCAACCTAAAGCCTAAACCCCTAAACCCTAAATACTAAACACTAACCCCTAAACCCTAAACCCTGTGCCCACCCACCCCGCCAGGGGCTGATTGCCTGCACCAACCTAAACGAGCGGGACGTGCTGGCCCTGTAGGCCGGAAGCCCAACCAAAAGCAAAATGACAACAGAAATAATAATCATAATGATAGCAATAAGAGTAAGAATCATAATGATAGTAATAAGAGTAATAATAATAATGATAGTAATAAGAGTAATAATCGTAATGATAGTAATAAGAGTAATAATCATAATGATAGTAATAAGAGTAATAATAATCATAATGATAGTAATAAGAGTAATAATAATCATAATGACAGTAATAAGAGTAATCATAATCATCTCGAAGAGATGAGAGCGAAAACAGCCTCATTGTGTTACATAGCACCTTGACTTGCTTTGTCCACGTCCACGTCTGATGAACCAAAAGTTTTAGCATTAGCGACCGTCTGCCCTCCAAGCATGCCGGGTCAGTCCATGACCATCCAAATGTCGCGCTTCGTCTCCACATAGTCCAGGAGCTTCGCAATGTGAGCGATGCCTGGACACAACATGCAAGCATACCTATACCCACGGAGAACACATCGATGCCTGTTCCCGCAGCCTAGAACCCCTGTTCAATCATAGGGACCTTAGAGGGGTAGGGGGAGGGGGGTAGGGGACTATAGGCCTCATTAGGTCCTTATTTTAGATATTAGGGCCCCGTACCCCCAACCTCCCTACCCTCCCCTAAGGGTCTCTAGGATTCAACCCCTTAGCTGCACACCAGGAGTCTGCCCCAAACCCAGGTCTCTCGAGGAAAGCTCGCCCAGAAAACAGCTGACTGGAGGTGTCAAGGCTCTGCGGATTTGGGATTTCAGGGTTTTTCGTTTCAGTGGCTTAGGGTTTAGGGTTCAGGGACTATCCCCATGACATGCCCAGGTGCTGATGTAACAGTCATCAGAGCCGCTCTTCCGACTTGCTGGGGTTCTCTGTGGGGTTGGGACCTTCAACACCCTAGAGCCTCTGCCCGAAGCTGCTTCGGGGCTGTGGGGCTGCAAGGCTTTTGTGGACCTTCCCTCATCTGGGATCCAGAATTTAGGGCTGGGGATTTAGGATTTCGGGCGGGGGTTTAGGATTTACAAAGAAGGTCAGGGAGATAGAACTTCGGATGGAGGGGGCGTGGGGTTTCATGTTGCAGGTTCAGGATTGAACCCTCGGAAATGGGATGGGCTGAAGGGCCTAGGCTTGCGCGGTCGGTTTTAGGGTTTAGGGTTTAGGGTTTAGGGTTTCATGGATTCGGTGCTCAAGTTTAGGAATCTCGGATGACGCTCCACAACCATGCATCCTAAACCCAAACCTGTTAGACTACTTCGCCCCAAGCCCTAAACACTGAAAATCCTGAGCCACTAGCCATAAGCCCCTAAACCCTAAGCTCCTAATCCCGAAGCCCCTAAACCCTAAGCTCCTAAGACCCTAAACCCTAAGCCCCTAAACCTTAAACCCTAAGCTCCTAAGCCCCTAAACCCTAAGCCCCTAAGCCCCTAAGCCCCAAAACAGGGCGCAGCAGACATTGGCACCTGGATTCTGCTTCGGCGACACCTTTGGTTCGCCCCCGGCCTGACTTTAGTGGAGCTACGGGTTTAGGGTTTAGGTACAAGCGGTCGGTACTGAAACTAGTCCTGGTGAGAGTAACCATGGCCATTGTCGTCCAGGTTGCAATGGCACTAGCAATATTGACAACCACCGAGGCCTCGTACACTAGGGGCAATGACTCCCCATACTCCCAAGCCGAAACCCCTACAATCCGAGTTCAAGCCGTGAACACTGAACCCTAATTGGAGGATCATGGGACTTAGTAAGTAAGGTTATAAGTACCTTAATTGGGGTTATAAGTATAGTTACCCTAATTATAACCTTAGTTACTAAGTCCCATGATCCCCATTATAGAAGCCCTATAGATCCCTTTAAGGAACCCTATTATAGAACCATAAGGAACCCTAAACCTTTAAGTACACCTCAAGCCCTGAATCCTGAAGAACCCGAAACCAGAAACCTTTACAGAGCCCTGGCAGCCCTTGTGCCCTCCAAGCTCAGAAACTGTCAAGAACTTCTGTCTCAAAGGGTCTTCGAGGTTTAGGTTCAGAATTCTAGATACGATAAGTCGAAAAGCATAGTACTTACAATGCATCCTTGCTATGGTAACGGAAGTGGTGCTCAGCCGTGCCGTCATCTACATCGGCCGTAGCACCCTTTGGGCGAGGTTGGATTGGGCTTCAAGGTTTAGGCTTTAGGGCTTTAGGGTTGAGGATGTTTTTTGTAAGGGTTTAGGGTTTAAGGTTTTAGGGTTTAGGATGTTTTCTTGAAGGTTTAGGGTTTAGGGTTTAGCTTTACCGGACGATCAGCGTGCTGGACTGGCTGCCGCGGACGTTGGTAGACTACAAGGAGACGATCCGCCGTTTCTCACAGGGGCAACCCGAGCACTGAGAGGAGATGGGGGGGGTTCTTGGGATTCGGGCTTAGGGATTATAGGGTTTAGGGCTTAGGGTTTAGGGCTTAGGGATTGAGGGGGCTTAGGGATTAGGGCTTAAGGATTAGGCGTCTCGCCGCGCAGCGGCAGTATGTTCTATGTAGGATGGCGCCCCAACACTCCCAGGGGTCCATGCACTCTACTTGGAGGGTCGGGGGACTTAGTAAGTAGGTAGCAAGTAGACTTATAAGTACCCTACAAGGGACCCTAATTGGGGTTATGGTACTTATAAGTCCCTAAAATAAGTAAGAAAAAGGATGGGTACGGCCTCAGCAGGCCTGGGTGGGAATTTAGGGTTCCGGGATTAGGGTATTGGGGTTTAGCCTTGATGGAAGCATGCGCCATAAAAGAGGCTTGCGTCCACAGCAACCCTTAAGCCTTTAGCTGCAGCTAGCATCACCAAGCAGGTTTTGAGGGCATCATAGCTTGCGATTCCTTCTTGTTCAAAATCTTCTGGAATAGTCAGGCTGGGTTCGGGTGACCCTGACGACGAGCAGCTGCTGTAGAACGTTCTTCAAGGACCCAAACAAGCTAAGGAGGAGCTGCAGCTTCCGGTTCCCCATGAATGCTCACCATGTGGCTACACGAAAATTCCGCGAAGTAAAACTTCGCAGACTGCTGGGCAGCTGGACGCCCTCAATGCTTTGGTTGAACATTTCGCCAAACGTCAAACTCTGCAGGCTGCTGGGTAGCTGGATGCCCTGCAAGCTCTGATTGAAAGCGAAGCCAAACGTCAAACTCTGCAGGCTGCTGGGTAGTTGGATGCCCTCCAACCTCTGGTCGAACTCACGGCCAAACGTCAAACTCTGCAGGCTGCTGGGTAGTTGGATGCCCTGCAAGCTCTGGTTGAAGTCGTAGCCAAAAGTCAAACTCTGCAGGCTGCTGGGTAGCTGGATGCCCTCCAGGCTCTGGTTGAACTTCTTACCAAAAGTCAAACTCTGCAGGCTGCTGGGTAGTTGGATGCCCTGCAAGCTCTGGTTGAAGTCGAGGCCAAACGTCAAACTCTGCAAGCTGCTGGGTAGTTGGATGCACTGCAGGCTCTGGTTGAACTGGCGGCCAAACGTCAGACTCTGCAGGCTGCTGAGTAGCTGGATGCCCTCCAGGCTCTGGTCAAACATGTCACCAAACGTCAAACTCTGCAGGCTGCTGGGTAGCTGGATGCCCTGCAAGCTCTGATTGAAGTTATGGCAAAACGTCAAACTCTGCAGGCTGCTGGGTAGTTGGATGCCCTGGATGCTCTGGCTCTGCAGGCTGCTGGGTAGTTGGATGCCCTGCAAGCTCTGGTTGAAGTCGTAACCAAAAGTCAAACTTTGCAGGCTGCTGGGAAGTTGGATGCCCTCCATGCTCTGGTTGAAGTCGGAGCCAAAAGTCAAACTCTGCAGGCTGCTGGGAAGTTGGATGCCCTCCATGCTCTGGTTGAACATTTCGCCAAACGTCAAACTCTGCAGGCTGCTGGGTAGCTGGATGCCCTGCAAGCTCTGGTTGAATGTATAGCCAAACGTCAAACTCTGCAGGCTGCTGGGTAGTGTAGTTGGATGCCTTCCATGCTCTGGTTGAAGGCGAAGCCAAACGTCAAACTCTGCAAGCTGCTGGGTAGTTGGATGCACTGCAGGCTCTGGTTGAACTGGCTGCCAAACGTCAGACTCTGCAGGCTGCTGGGTAGCTGGATGCCCTGCAAGCTCTGGTTGAAGTGGTAACCAAAAGTCAAACTCTGCAGGCTGCTGGGAAGTTGGATGCCCTCCATGCTCTGGTTGAACATTTCGCCAAACGTCAAACTCTGCAGGCTGCTGGGTAGCTGGATGCCCTGCAAGCTCTGGTTGAATGTATAGCCAAACGTCAAACTCTGCAGGCTGCTGGGTAGTTGGATGCCTTCCATGCTCTGGTTGAAGGCGAAGCCAAACGTCAAACTCTGCAGGCTGCTGGGTAGCTGGATGGACTGCAAGCTCTGCTTGGAGTTATGGCCAAACGTCAAACTGCGCAGGCTGCTGGGTAGCTGGATGCCTTCCATGCTCTGGTTGAACAAACCGCCAAACGTCAAACTCTGCAGGCTGCTGGGTAGCTGGATGCCCTGCAAGCTCTGGTTGAATTTATAGCCAAAAGTCAAACTCTGCAGGCTGCTGGGAAGTTGGATGCCCTCCATGCCCTGGTTAAACCATTCACCAAACGTCAAACTCTGCAGGCTGCTGGGTAGCTGGATGCCCTCCAGGCTCTGGTCAAACATGTCACCAAACGTCAAACTCTGCAGGCTGCTGGGTAGTTGGATGCCCTGGTTGAGCTCTTGGCTGGAATACCATGTGAGTGACATCGTTTCGTTCAGGGCAGCCACATCAGATAGAGTCTTCTCCTCGAGCAGGCGCTCCCAAAGCATCGCGACACGACCCGCGCCAAGCTTCCGCACCACGCACCAGATCTCGTCGCATTGGACTTGATGCAGCAGCAGCTGGCGCTGATCGATGACGCAACCACCGGATGTCAGCACAAGTAAACCTGCAGGGTGGCCAACTCCGGCTGCGATGCGTTCCGCTACTTCCCACCCGGTTTCGGCAATGTTGACGTCCAGCTCGAAGCTGGAACCTGCCAGGCAATGAACGTTCACGGTCCGCCTGGTGCTGTCCGGACCGGCCTCTGCAGGCTGCGGGACGCTCAAACTCTGCTTCATGGTGCCTTCGGGCGCATGCGATTGGCCATGGTGTTGGCGGCGCTTGTTTGAGCCACTAAGATGAGAAGCCCGATAGTTCCCAAGTTTAGGCTAGAATTTAGGGTTCAAGGTTTGAGGAAGCCAAAAAAACGATCCAACAAAGAAATCATCCCACAAATGCTTGTGGCTTAGGGTTGAGGTCTTCCTACATGAGCTGACATAGGGGATTGTTGCTCCGTTTGAAGATGCCTTGAAGGAGTTTCAGAGAAGGGGGACCCTCAGAGGGAGTATGTAGAACCCGTCTACAAACCCCTGCAAAAGCAACGTCAGAAAAATCAAAAAAATACGAGATCCCCATAAAACCCCTGTAATTTGAGGAATGCCCTTAAGCCTGAAACCAAGAAGAATCCTGTCTCCAAAGCTCCGGCCTCAAAGAAGTAGGAGCCAAACAGGATCTCCTTCCTCGCCGCCTGGATCTTTCTATGATGGGTTTAGGGTTTAGGGTTTTTTTAGGGTTTAGGGGTCTACTTTCGATAGCCTCTCTGCATGATGTTGCAAGAGCCTTCTTTCTAAGGATACCTTGTGAAGGATTGTGGGTTTTAAGGGCGCAAGGTTTGGGTCTCACTGGTGCGAGGCTCAGAGTTTTTGGCTTCGGGCTTTGGGGTTTTGGATTTGGAGTTTGAGGTCTAGGGTTGTTTCTTAGGAGCAACTCCGTGCCAGCCCATGACCCGTATATTTACAATAATGAACCGTAAGGAAGAGTATTTCCAATTATTTAGGCCTCCATTCCATAACTATGGACCATGGACACAACTGTCTCCCTTGCTCTATCTCGCCGGGACACGTCGGTGTCGGACTTCTTCTTGCCAGTGGTGCCCTTGGCAACCTTCTCAAGTTCGACGCTTTAAGCTCGAGTTTTGGCTGCTATTAGAAGGGTTTCAATACCGTTTACGACAGCTTTCACACAGTTTAGTTGGGCCGTTTGGGTTTCAGGGATGGTTTCGGTTCTAGGATTTAGGGTACAGTTAAAGGTGTAGGGCTTCGGGCAACGTTCAGGAATTGGGGTTTAGGGCTTGATCTTGTCTCTCATGATGCCGAGAGAGATGACTCATACTGACGTTCGAATATAGGCCGACTACAAAAGGGGGGATACTATACTCGTAGCTGGACCGTGGCGCCTCTGTTTGCCCCTGTGTTATCGTAGGAATCATAGAAAAATAGTAATAGTAATAATAGTAGTATTAGTATACTTATCATTCACTTCTGGATGTTCGACTCGGCTTTTTGCTAAGGTTTCGCGTCAAGCTCTTCTGATGTTCTGCGATCTTCGGGGCTTTCGTCAATTCTGAATTGGGAATTTCCGAAAATCAGGGGCACCTTGTTTTGGGCTGCTTATAAGAAGGATCCTACTATTTAGGGTACCTTTTTTGTAGGGTCTCCTATTTTCCGAAACTCCCAGTTTTCAGAGCGGCAATGACATCAGAATGTTCCGCATCCTTTTGGGCACGGTTAGTGTTGATGGTGAAGTTTGCTGCATGGTCATGCTGATGGTCCTTCTTGTCGGGGGGGTAGGGGAGTCGGGGCGGATGATGACGTTCAGGATTGGAGTCACGATGATGTTACTGTTTGCGAAGCTGTTGCCGATGACAACGCTGCTTTGCTGCTGCCGACGATGCTGCTGATGAATTCCGGGCCCACAAGAAAAGTGCTAACTCAAGTTTTCACATCTTACAGCAGCTTCTATGGTGCAAGCCCCGAAGTGCAAACATAACTCCCGAGGCCAGCCCAAATTTGCGAGCCCTAATCCCTAAACCCTTTCGCCTGACCATACTTAAAGGAGCATGGGACTTAGTAACTAGGGTTATAATTAAGGTAACTATACTTATAACCCCAATTAAGGTACTTATAACCTTACTTACTAAGTCCCATGATCCTGCAAGTAGCCCAAACCTGAAAGAAGCCCCAGAAAAGACTGCTTTCAAGCAGTCAGGGAGGGGGCTCGTCCTCAGGCGAAACGCAAAGTGAAGCTCAAAGGAAGCGCACAAGGAGTTCCTTTGGGTCTTAAGGTTGATAGGGTTTCGGGTTTTCGGGTTTAGGGTTTCGGGTTCGGTGAAGCTAAGAGTAATTTTTCCTGCCGAGCCTAAGCTTCCACTGTTGTCCCAAAGCCCCTCTTGAAGCCTACAGTTCAGGGACCGCGCGACTTCCATCCAGCATGAACCACCGCACCCCCCATGCTCTCCAACTCTTCTCACTCTGTTATTCTTCCTATTACTACCTGGGGGTTTCCGAAAATTAGGGGTACCTATTTTGGGGTCCTGATGATAGGGAGCCTAGTATTTAGGGTACTATACTAGGGTCCCCCATTTTCGGAAACTCCCACCTACTGTTTGCTGCTCACTCTTAATACTACTACCTACTAACCCTAAACCCTAAACCGCTTAGGGTTTGGGGCTTAGGGCTATTAGACCCTGCACCGCGGCTGCTCACCTGTTTGATCGCCACAGGGGTCCGGGAGCCGCTGGGCACGGCAAGCCAGACAACCTGGGAAACTCGCGACCCCTGTAGGGTTTACAGTAGAAGCCAGAAAGTTGGAATATCATTACCATACTCCCTTTAAGGTAAATTATAGGGGATCCTGCCATTATTCCATATTCCAACTTTCTGGAGTTCCTTTTAGGGTTTAGTGTGCCCAACCGTGTACTCAATATCCTAGATCCCAAACCTGAAACACCCAGCGCCAGTCGGAGACAATCAAAAGCGTAACGGCGGTCCAAAACTACCGCGACTGATTCGCACTAAGACCATGTACCATGAGCATTGTGGCTTCTTCTACCTAGTTACATAGTTACTATGACTTATGGAACCCTGAAACGTCCGAAAAGCCCCCATGGCCTGCGGGTCACCAACCCTCGCCCGAACACCCTGCAATCCCAGTTTTGTAAGAATTAACCTCTATTTGGGAGTTTTCGAAAATAGGGGACCCTAACATAGTACCCTAGATAATAAAATTCTTCTTATAAGGACCCCAAAATAAGGTACCCCGAATTTTCGGGGTTCTCCCATTTTGGGTGGACTTCGCAAGTCTCCAGACCCTCCAAGATAGGGTTTAGGGTTTAAGGTTTAGGGCGGGTCTGGGACTTCGAGATCTACGCCCGAATCTGGAAAGCCCGGAGACGGTGGAAGTCCCCACCCAGAACCCAGAAACGTGAAGAATGCAGGAAGATATACTCTAAATGATAGAGCTTAGGAGGATCCCTAATATGATTTAAGGAATATTCCCCAATGGCAACATTGAATGATAACACTACCGGACAACCGACCGTGATCGCGAGGCCTACAACTCTCAGTCGCGAGACAGCTCAGGAGCTCTCGAAACGACACACTGATCAGGGAGTTTTCGAAAATTAGGCGTACCTTATTTTGGGGGGTCCTTATAATAAGGATCCTACTATTTAGGGAACAATATTAGGGTCCCTTGCTTTTCGGAAACTCCCATCAATAGAATATGTAAACCCTGGAACCCACACCTTCCTCCCCAGGCCACCTAAACCCCACACCCAACCGACAATAATAGTCTTTGAATCGATACAGGATCCCCGCACCTTCAACCCAACCCCAATCCATAAGCCCAAACCCCCACGAGCATTCCGCAAACCCTGAACACAATCTATGGACGTCCTATTGCTAACCCTAAACCCAATTCTTAAACGTCATCCGGAGTCCTTGAGCCGAATCTCAATCCCAAAACCCTGAACAATCCTGACACCTCCAAACATTGCATAAACCCCCCCTTGTGTTGCCCGTCTCCACTGCAATGAAACTATACTGAACTTAGAACCCTAGCAAAAATTCTAATTGAAGCTGTTTCTTAGGGATTATAATAACCAAATATTAAAAGCTATTTCTAAGTACCCCTAATGAAACTCTTCTAAGATGCTGAAATCCCTAGAAGGCTGCACCACTTGGGCTACCCACGGCACAAGCACCACGGCCCAAGAGCTGTGTCTTCTCGTAGCCTTCTCGTGCTTGGGTTTTAAGGACGTTTTAATGGCTTGTGTAGCGGACTTCGGAAGGGTGTTACAGGTTTCGCATAAGGCTTTCACAGGGCCTTTACATTACATGGGATCTTCTATTTTGTCCTCTGGATAGTCAGGGACGGCCCGCCTGGGAGGAAGCGATCGGAGTACTCTGCGCAGTCGTCCTCAACAGGTGGAGGCCTGTCAGCAGAGCAACCCGCACCTTAAAATACAAACTGCTTTACGGCTTAAAATGCTTTAGATTTACTGCAGGGTTTAATTTTTATCCGCAAAGCCCGCAATCCTAACCTCAGCAGCCTACACATAGATCCCAAAACCTCGAGGCATTCCCCGACCGCTGCCTTATGCCGCTTCGGCCCCTTCATGGGCCACAGATGCTCAACACCAGCACACGATCGGAACCCGAGGACTCAAGATGAAGAGAAGAGCATCTTGCCAGAGCAACGAGGGCTCGCGGATCCTGACTTTAAAACCCTAAGCCTTCTTAAGGCCCGCAACAGTGAAACATTCAGATCCCGAATCTTGAAGCCTGAAATCCCTTACATCCCTAAACCCGAGAGCCGTGATCGTGGAAACACGAGGCGAGCCGTGGACTTGACAACTCTTCCAGCGAACATCATGGAAAAAGACAGGAACAGCCAAGATTTCAGTATTTAGGGTTCACATCAAAGGGCTTAGGATTCAAGGTGCAAGACTCAGGTTGTAGGGTTCAGTGCTGAGGTTTCTAGAGCTCAGGGTGTTGAGTTTGTTCGTGGGTGGGCCTCAGAGTTCAGGGTTTCCTCATAATGGCCGAAGTAAAGAAACGCCAAGACTTGCAGCAGCACTGCCGGGCTTATGGGCAGCAAAACGGCTGTCGACCCTCTGACCAAAAAAAACCTTCCGTGGATGCGAAACTTCCCTCGAAAGAGAAGCAGAGGAAGATCTCATGGCTAAACCCCATACATCCTAACCCTAAGTCCTAGCCGCTAGATCCTAACCCCAGACCATAAAACCCCAAGGATGGGAAACTCTTGGGTCCCTAAGCTCAAAACCCCAACCTCTAAAGCATGCCACCTCAAAACCCTAAAGCCCTAAAAACCGGGGGTAGTCTTAGGGTTCCTTTGAAGGGAGAACCTGGTGGGCTGTTGGGGTTCCTGTGGAGGGGAAACCCTAGAAAGTACTACAAACCGTTGCAGAACCTCTCTTGAAACCCTGAAAGTAGAGTTGAAAAAAAGACAGCCTAAACCCTAGACCCTGAAAGTATCTCTGAGAAACCCCAAAAGGGAAGCCGCGAGGCCTCTGCGCAGCTTGCCCTCGTCGTGCTATGGCGACTCGGTCAGAGTTGCTGCCTCAGCCAGCTACTGGTAGCTTCCAGGGCTTGAGGGTTGAGGGCTTGAGGGTTTAGGGTTCAGGGTTTAGGGTTTAGGATTTAGGCTTTAGGGTTGAGGGCTTAGGGTTAAGGGCTTGAGGGTTTAGGGTTTCGGGCTTTAGGATTTAGGCTTTAGGGTTGAGGGCTTGAGGGTTTAGGATTTAGGGTTCGTGTCACTCAGGGCCTGGGTCCCCAGCAGATTGGAATCAGGGAGCCTGGCTGAGACAAAACTTAGGGTATAAATGATGACGATGTTCATGATGATGATGACGGTGCTGCTGCTGCTGCTGATGCTGATGATGGTGATGATGATGGTGAAAAATGCTACAGAGGTTCGTGAAAAACCGATTCACAAAGTTCTTAATCATCATAAGCTGATGATTGACTCAGGGCTTGCAGCTTTCCCTTTCAGCCAGGGGCCGCAGATCTGAAATGCCCTCGACCCTATATCCCAACACTTCAACACCGAATCCCAAAAAACCTCGAAGTCCTCAAATCCTTAAAGGAACCCTAAACCCCAAATCGTATATACCTCCCTTTAAAGGATCCCTCAAAGGTACCCTTAAAGGCATCCGGCGCCCCGGAGTCCCGGACCGTTAAAGGTGATGCCACGTGCAACATCAATGGAGCGAGTCCGGACCTCACATTTCCGCACTTCGGACTGAGTCGAACTCGATGGGGTTTCCTTGTTTTCAAGGGGTTTAGGGTTTAGGCTTAGGGTTTAGGGTTTAGGGTTAGGGTTTAGGGTTTAGGTTGCATTTAAGGGTTCCTGTCAGGGCTGCTTGGTTTTAAGGGTTCCTTTGAGGGGTTCCTTTCGGGGTTCCTTTTAGGGTTCTGGAAAGGGACGATCAGGATGCAGGCGCGAGAGCTCACGGGAAGGTCGAGGGCCCTGAACGCTAACACCTCTAACAACAGAATGAAAGGGATTGAGAGGTTAGTGCTAACATCCGTACAGTATCCTCCTTGTAATCCTCAGGTTACCCTGTCATATACCTACTGTGCCCTAAAACATCAGGCCCTACCAACCCTACCTGTATGCTAAACCCGAAAGAATCGCTCGGGTTGCGGTTCAGACCTTAAGGTTCAAGGCTTTAGGGCTTGAGGGCTTTAGGGTTTGAGGGTTAAGGGCTCCAGAGAACTACGGTTTGAGGCTGTAGAGTTTGGGATCTTAAATTAAAGTCTAGGCTTGCAGCGGCACAGGTACCCTGCTAACCGGACCACAAAGTAAGGCACCGCTAGATTGACAACCCCTGAAACCTCGCTCGATAGCCGAACCCCGAGCTCTGAAAGTCACAAACCTCATAAACCCTCAACCCCATGCACCATATCCAAACCCCCCAAAACCCTGAACCCGTCGCTTTCGATAAAACCGTGGCACATCGCAAACAAAGCCATACAAGCACCCATAAAGCCTGCCAATCACCCCATGCCTTCGGTGCATCGTAGGTCCGCTCTACACCCCGGCTGTTTGCAGAGGGCGCCCGTGTGGGGGTCCTTCTTGTCTGCAGGGTTCTACAAGGACTCGGTAAGGTTTCCGCAAGGGCTCTACCTACGAGGTCATTTGGACTTTACAACGGGTTTGCAAGCGATCCAAACTGTGTGGGTCCAGTGAAAAGCTGTGGTTGGCGTCTTCGTTGTCTTTAGGGATTGGGCGCGTACGCTTTAGGGTACAGGGTTAACAGTCCCGCGGTATCGCATTAGGTTAGGAGTCCTTCGTGTTCATCAGGGTTTCGGCATTTCAGCACTCCTTGTTCCTTGGCGTTTCTGGATCTGACAACTTCGATCTCACTTAAGATTCAAAGAGGCCTTGCTGTGTGGATATGAGACGGGCAGTAGGGGTTGCAGTGAGATTTGTGGGGTTTACGGGATGTCAAGACTTTCAGGGATCACTAGGTATGGACTTGCCTGCCTCTTAGCTCTTGAATATAAGGTATAGCAATGATACTACAAATCACCTGCCCCACAAATTGGCAATGAGATTCAGAAAAGGAGTGTCAGCAGTACTTGTAGTGTTGTCATAGCAGAAGAAAAAGTCGTCGTCTTCGTCAAAGGAGTAGGACGAGGAGTACAGTAGCACAAGCAGAAGCAGAGGCAGCAGTCCTCGTCGTCGTAGTAGAAAGTGGGGCATGGAGCAGCAAGATCAGCTAGAGTAGGAGGACCTAAACCCTAAAGCCTAAACCCTAAACCCTAAACCCTAACCCTAAAAGGAGGAGGAGGGGAAGTGGGAATCCGAGCTCGCAATAGTCCACCTTCCAGTTAGTATCGGCCTGACTCTGACCAGCATCCTTGCTACAGTAGGTCTTTCTCTACCGAGCATACTTGGAGGATCATGGGACTTAGTAAGTAAGGTTATAAGTACCTTAATTGGGGTTATAAGTATAGTTGTCCTAATTATACCCCTACTTACTAAGTCCCATGAGCCTTTAAGTAGGTTCCTATCTTCTTGCCTTCCGTCGCATGTCATCACGGACGGCACGAGAAGACCCAAGTTGTCCAGCATAACCCCGAAGGAGCCATTTGGGAGTTTCCGGAAATGGGGGACCCTAACATGGTACCCTAATTAGTAGGATCCTTCTTATGAGGACCCCGAAATATGGTACCCCGAATTTTCGGAAACTCCCATTTACTTTGCAGACACCGAACAGGATCCACTAGTTTCCCACAAACACCGACATTCACACATGTGGAGGTCCGAACAATAAGAGTAACATCCTGTCGCCTTTATCGTTCCCATATAGTTGGCTGCATGTTAAAATACATCACCACCAAACCCCATACGAATTGTAGAAACCCTTTAAAGAAACCATAAAGCCCCAGTCAACCATCACCATAACAATCCCTGTTCTAATTCTTAAGACCACTACCGCTATGCTAGATACCCCTTTGTAATACATGAGCCATTTTATCACAGTCCTTGATGGCCCAGCCACAGACCTCCCATGGTTCAGACTGTAGGGTATGGTGTATTCTGAAGGTTTCCTTCAAGAGTTCCTGCAAAGGCTGTGTGAGGGTTCCAGAAGGGGTTCAGGATCTGGAGTTATAATGGCTCTATATGCAGGGTGGTTCGGGATTTTGGATTCCGGATTCAGGATCGAGGAAAGATTTACTGTTGAGGGTTCAGGATATCAGGCCTGACGGTTCAATGTTTACGGCGTAGGGTTCAGGTAGGGCTTTTGGGCTGGATGCTCCGCCTACCCCGACGTGTCATTGCGGTTTAGAGCTCAGGGTTTTGCAACAAAAGGACAAGACCTGCACCAAAATTAACAGTGTTTGACACTCGTGCGGCTGGCTGCGCGGTAATGGTCTGAACCCCCAAATCATGGTCACACAGGCCTGTGCTCCTGGAGTGGCGTGTGCCCACCGTCGTCCTGCAGTGCTACAAGACTATAAGATGACCTGTTCTCATCGCTGCTGCTACTAGCTAGTGGCAGTACTACTAGTAGCGGAAGTGTTGTCAGCGGTGCTGCAGCAGCAGTATTAGCAGCAGCAGTAGGAGTAGCAACAGCACTTGCACTAGCAGTAGCGGTAGCAGTAGTGGGGGCAGCAGCAGACACAAGAGGCGGCCTCTTCGCGCCGGCGTCGATCGAGCCGACCCACACCGCTCGGAACCTGGGGCTCAGGCTAGGTTTCAGGGCTAAGGGTTTAGTTCAGGGGGTGGAGTCCACGGTTTAGGGTTTAAGGCCTAGGAGGAACTGAAGCTAAGGGTTTAGTTTAGGGGTGGAGTCCAAGGTTTGAGGTTTAGGCGTCATGAGGAACTTTGGAAGGTTTCAGAAGATTTTATGCCTGAAGTCCCTCAGCCCTAAACCCCAAACCCGCATCGAATCAGATCTTGTGATGTCTTAGGATGTGTACCTCTTGTTATTACTATCATTTTTTACTTATTACGATTACAATTCTTGTCATTATTCCTAGGGTCTTGCGGTGTCTTAGGAAGGTTTTTTTAGGGTTCAGGCCTCCGGCTCCAAGCTGTCAGAGTGCCAAGGTGGGGCTTGCGGTTTGGGTCTTAGGGTTTAGGGTTTACAGTTTAGGGACAGGGTTTAAGGGATCATAGGGTTTAGTGTTTGCGGTTTAGGGTGCAGGGGCTTGGAGTTTAGGGTTTGTGGTTTGGGGTTGATGTGCTTGGCGAAAACATCAGGAATCTGGGTCGCTGCAGATTTTGGGTGGAATGGCGCCGCCTGGAATTTGGATGTTGTCATTACTAAATTTTCATAAAAGCTCGCTTTAGGGTCTTACCCGGGAGTATACTAATCGGGTTTGATGAGGATTGTAACTGTTAAGGGTTTTACAAGGTCCACGATTATTGGCTAATTTTGGCAGGACCCTCCAATGAGCCCTCGTCATGTCGTCTGCTTGCCTGCTTGGTTTCGATATCTGGCATCTATTCATCTATTCCTGCTGGGAGGTCGCGAAAGGAAAGCTGGAATGGAACAAACCTCTTTGGCCCGAAACCCGTCGTGATCGTAACGGTTTAGGGTTTAGGGTTTGGGGTTTGGGGTTTGGGGTTTTGATCAACTCCCACATGCCGATCAAACGATCTTCTTGAAGCTCTCATCCTTTATCCTGAACCGCAAGAATTCCATTCGGCTGGGCCTGCAGTGACCGGGGGGCGAAGGACGCTGCCGCGGCCTCAGCCACACCTGCAGCCAGCTGTTAAAAACGGCTAGGGTTTAGCCTTTCGTAGTCCTTTGATAAGCCCTTTCGGGGAACCCTGAAAACTGAAATCTTGAAACCAAGCATGTTGCAAAAAGAGTCCTACTTAAAGGATCATGGGACTTAGTAACTAGGGTTATAATTAGGGTAACTATACTTATAACCCCAATTAAGGTACTTATAACCTTACTTACTAAGTCCCATGATCCTCCAAGTAAAAAGGACCATGAACGCCAACTCGAAGGGGGTGCCCGGGCATTTATTTCAGCGGCAGCCTTACAGAAATACAGAATCCTTCTGAAGACCCTGCTTCAGAAACCCTAAACCCGAACCCTGAACCCGAAACGCAAAACTCTAAACCCTAACCCTGAACCCGAGCCGAACCCTGAACCCAAAATCCTAAACCCCAAACCCCAAAACCCCTAGAGATCCCTTATAGTACTCTTATGGAGCCCTTTGAAGGAAGCCGAAACCCTAACCGTACTGTTGATGATATAAACCCTGCATTACCTTAAGGACCCTAAACTATGGGAATAATGGTATATTCCTCATTATGGGTAATGCAGGATTTATATCATCAACCCTAAACCCTAAACCCCCTATAGATCCCTTAAAGGAGCCCCTTAAAGGTACCCTTGTAGATCCCTTTATATCATCAACCGTATGAAACTCGACAGCCAACAAAGCTGGGCTTCTGGCTCCCAGTGTCGCGGGCCGGGCCAGAGAAGGGCTGGACAGAGGCGCTGGGCTTCGGGGCTTAGGGCTTAGGGTTTAGGGTTTAGGGTTTAGGGTTTAGGGTTTAGGCTTTAGGGTTTAGGGTTTAGGGTTTTGGGTTTAGGGTTTAGGCTTTAGGGTTTTGGGTTTAGGGTTTTGGGTTTAGGGTTTAGGGTTTAGGGTCCAGGGTTCCTTAAAGGGCTCCTTCAATGGATCTACAAGGGTTCCTTAAAGGGTTCTATAATGGATCTATAAGGGTTTAGGGTACTTAAAGGATCATGGGACTTAGTAACGAGGGTTATACTTTAAGGGGCTCCTTTAAAGGGGATCTACAAGGGTTCTATTATAAGAGGGGTTTTAGGGTCTACTTGAAGGATCATGGGACGTAGTAACTAATGTTATAACTAGGGTTACTATACTTATCACCCCAACTAAGGCACCTATAACCTTACTTACTAAATCCCATGATCCTCCAAGTAGGGCTTAAGGGCCTAGGGTTTAGGGTTGAGGTCGCAGGATGTCTGGGAAAAGCTGCAAGGTTGATCTCAAGGTTCCGACTTTGTGCTTGCAGGGTGTGCTGCTACTTCTGCTTCTTCTTCTTCTACTACTGCCTTCGGCTTCTGCTACTACTGCTACTGCTACTGCTACTGCTACTACTACTACTACTACTACTACTACTACTACTACTACTACTACTGCTACTACTACTACTACTACTACGACGACTACTACGACGACTACGACTTAATACTACCTTGTACCTACAAACTACCTACTCCTGCTCATTCCCACGCCTGCTCTTACTCCTACTCCTAACGCTACTGCTACTCAGGCTTATGCTAGCAGTTGCAGTGGTGGTAGCAGACAATACCAGCAGTAGCAGCAGGAGGAGGTTCGAGGCAGCAACAGCAACTACCCGTCGTCCCGCGCACCAGCTCAGACGTACTCCGCGGGGGAGACCGCGGTGCGCGAGGGCCTGGCTTCACACAAAAAGCTGGAGGTCCTCGGTGTTGGGAGTCATAAGCCCTCACTCCTCTCAGCTGCAAACCCAAGGCGCCTGAACTGCAATAACGCATGCACCCCCTCCACCCTCACCCGAAACCGTGTCGTCAACAACAAAAACCTCCCTGCTCCCCCCCCGCACCCCGCCCCTTCTCCCCCCCAAACCGTAACCTCAACCCTTCACCCTCCCCCATCCCTCCCCTCCCCCCCTGCCCCCACAAACTCGCCCCCGCCTGGGCTACAGGGCTCCGGATTCCGGCTCAGGAGAGGCTCCTGTTGAAAATTGTGGCGAGGCTTTAACTCCTGGGCCTTTGGGGTTGAGGGCTTAGGGTCTAGGATTTAGGGTTTCGGCTTCAAAGGGATCCATAAGAGCACTCTAAGGGATCTATGGGGGGTTTCGGGGTTTGGGATGTAAGGTTTAGGGTCGGCCTCTGGATTTGCCCAGCGCTCCGGGGGCTTTGCTGGGCCTCGGGTCTTGCGTACTATGGGGGGGGGGGGGGCGCCTTAGTAATCAGAGTAAAGGTTCCTTTAGAGGGTTCCCATTAAAGGGTATAAGGAGTACTAGAAGGGCTATAGGGGCCTTCATAATTAGAATAGGGTTTTGGGGCCCATTATACTACAAACATGATCAGACAGTATAGGTAATCATTTAGGCTCCTATATTAAAGTCATGACTCCCGAGAGCTCTGCATGCAGAGTAATCCCTTCAAGAAGGCTGCTCGAAGGGTTGTGCAATTTTCAATGGGCACTGCAGACCTGAGCCTTCCGTGGCTCAAGACTTTGAGGGCTCTCTGTGATCCAGGCTTCCGCACAAGAGCAGGAACATCCGGGATGCTGAGGATGTTGAAGAAGGCTACTTAGAGGATCATGGGACTTAGTAAGTCGGGTTATAAGTACCCTAGTTGGGGTTATAAGTATAGTTGCCCTAATTATAACCCGAGTTACGAAGTCCCATGATCCTTTAAGTAACCAGCACCACCACCACGAAACCTCGGCCCCGCGTTGCTCTAAGACGCCAAAGGAAAACCGACACGCCCAAAACTTGCAGCCCTGAACCCTAAACAACCCGACGTCCCTACCCTAAACCCTAAACCTTGAAACCCTAATCCTAAACCCTACACCCTACACCCCAAACCCTAAACCCCTTATGGATCCCTGATAGTATTCTTACGGATCCCTTTGAAGGAAGCCGAAACCCTAAATCCTCAACCCTAAGCCCTTCAAGAACCCGAGGTTCCGGGCCTGAACTCTGTAGGGGCTCCGTGGGGCCGGTGTCGCCTGGCTTGGGTTTGCTGGGGTTTAGGGGTTAGGGTTTAGGGTTTAGGGTTTAGGGTTTAGGGTTTAGGATTTAGGGTTTAGGGTTTAGTCGAATTGTCGACTGATATGTGGGTTTTGGATTGCATTTGTCCGTCAATCTGGCATGTGCACTGATCACCAAGAATTGGGGGCTTCGGGGTTCAGGGGTTTTGTTTTGACTCCTTTTTCCTACCAAGCTGCGTCTGCTAGAAAGGCCTGAAGGCCAGGAGAGTTCAGGGGTTTAAGCTTTAGGGTTTAGGATTAGGAATTAAGGCTTTGGGGCTTAGGGTTTGGGCTTAGGGTTTAAGATTAGGGTTCAGGGTTTAGGAGTAGGGTTAAGGTTTAGGGTTTAGGATTCGGGATTAGGGTTTTGGGGTTCGGGATTAGGGTTCAGGCTTTAAGACTTAAGGTTTAGGGCTCGGGTTGCAAGGCCATGAGCAGGGTACTAAAAAATGAGTTCTATAAGGGTCTTGAGGTTGAGGTGGTCCAGGGCTTCAGGCTTATCAAGTCTGAGGTTCAGGGTCAGGGACCAGCTTTCGGTGTGTCGCTTAAGGGCTCGGGTTCAGGGTTTAGGGCTTAAGGTTGAAGGGGTTTTGAGCACTGGATCCGACCCAGTCTGTGCCATGCGCCGCGCCTCATGAGCATGACAGAAACCGCCTTCCTGGTGTATCACCTGCATCCACGGCAGGGGCCAGGATCTAGACTGGAGGGGCTGATAATTCGCTTACCGTTTCGGGGTAGGTCGTAGTGTTACCATATCATATATAGGGTTTCCTGGACTCTCAACTACTGCTGCAGCAAAAAACCTTTGCTGCTCATGTGGTCGTCATCGTAAGAGATAGCTTCATGGTGTTCACATGGACCCTGGACGCAACGTATGCTGGTTGGATACCCGATGCTGCTTGGTGCCAACAACGCGCTTCTTGGTTGATACTGCAACCATCGCAAGCACGCTTCGCATCCACACTGCGAGGTTTAATATTTAGGCCTAAATAATTAGGCCCAGTATACTATAATTATCATAAGTATTGGTAAGTACTCAGGCCCCTATATAATCGTACCCTCATAGATCCCTTATAGACCCCTTTAAAGGAACCCCTTACGGGAAGCCTAAAGTATACGTAACTGTTTGTACATCACTAGGACTCCCACGGCTCCCAGAAAAGCCTGAGGAGTGGCTGGGGTGTGGAACACAGAGCGATAGCACCTCGGCCCCAGCTTGTCATGAGTTTAGGGTTTAGAGTTTAGAGGTTATGGGTTAGGGGTTAGGGGTTAGGGATTAGGGTTTAGGGGTTAGGGGTTAGGGATAGGGTTTTAGGGATAAGGGGTTAGGGATTCGGGTTTAGGGTTTTAGGGTTTTAGGGTTCCCCAGCTTGTCATGAGTCCTTAAAAAGGTAAGTTTTTCGGTGTTAAGGTAAACCTTACACAAGATCCTTGGACCAAAGCCAAAACCTCGTTGCTCTGGCTTCCGGGGGTGGTGCCAGAAGGGTGAACCGGCCATGAACGAAGCTTGTCTGTCTGGTTCTTACTAGGGAATGTGGAAATGGGTTACGGAGACTATTCTTGGGCAATATGTAGGGACTACTGTAGGGATTAATTCCCCCATTCCCTGCTTGTCATGATGCCGGCTTGGAGCCCAGAGCTTTAGGCTTGAAGGTTTAAAGGTAGGGTTTAGGGTTTAGGGTTTAGGGTTTAGGGTGAGCCCCAGAGAGTTGGAATCCGGATTAAGGACAAATAGTGCTGGGATTCCCTATGCACTACTCTTAAGGATTGAGGCTATTGGGTTTCCAACGTTTGGGCTTCAGGGCTTCGGGGTTGGTGGGGATTCTAACTTCAGGTTTGGGGCTTGGTTTTTTTTTGTTTGGGGCTTGGGGTTTCGGGTTTAGCGTTTAAGGCGGAAGACGGAGTCGCTTTTGTCCGGACTTCCTTACGGTAGTGAGGCATGGCTCGAGCACATGCTAAGCCTTGGCCCCAAAAAGCGACCCTATACAAAAAACACGAATTCCCTTCCGCTTCTTCGGGAAGAATCCGGACTTCGTGTGATCTACGGATTAGCTGCTACGAGCTGAGAAGCGCAGGCGCCAAAATTGTCAGACTACGCATTTAAACAATTTAAAAGGTGCTTTCTGCAGACCACCCGGCACGATGCGGGACTCGCGAGGAAGACTCGGGCTCTTGAGGACTCCTTCGATGTTCGCTCTGGCCCCATCCTCATTCCCGTCACAGAGCTCTACTACGGAATTGTTTGATCGTCCTTGGCTCAGTCCTCGTAGCGTTGCCACATCGTTTGCTGAAGAAGCCTCTCAAGTACAAGAGCCTTCTCGGGGTCACGCACTGCTTCGCGAAGACGGGACAAGGACAACCACCCATACGCCCTGTGCATTGCCTGCACAGCATGCACATGGTTTGCGATCAACTCCTCCACCTTGTGTCGCAAGAAGCCCGACGTCACCGTGATCTCTGCACATCTGTTCTGAGTACCTGCCCAGAGAGATGCGCGTTCAAGGATCGTCGCCGTTCGTGCGACGACACACATGCGCAAGTCATGGCTTTGGTTTTGCTTGCTGATCTCCTCCATGATGGGCTTGGCTTCTCGCCAATCTGCAACGAGCAGTATGCTCCCCTTCCGGCCCTCCAGCCAGCTGAGAAAGCCCATGGATTTCTTGTGGCAGACGAACTTGCATCCGAATCTGAACGCAAGAGCTGCCAACTCTTTGCGGACCACGGCCTGCTCCGGCTTCAAGCAATGCTCGAAACACCAAACAAGCCACGTGCGAACTTCATCCGCCTGGTGTCCGGCCTGGCGAGCCATTCAAGCGCGAAAACGGTTGGCCCAAGTCTACAGCACCAAACAAGCGAGCCACTGTTAACGCGAGCAGTTATCGTGGTGGACACTGGGGCAACAGACCACCTTTCACCCGAAGCTCTAAAGACTCATTGAAGGCTTACAGTGAGCCCCAGAGAGTTGGAACCGGATTAAGGACAAATAGTGCTGGGATTCCCTGTGCACTACTCTTAAGGATTGAGGCTATTGGGTTTCTAACTTTTGGGATTCAGGGCTTCGGGGTTTGGGAGGGATTCTAACTTCAGGTTTGGGGCTTGGGGTTTCGGGCTTAGGGTTTATGGCGGAAGACGGAGTCGCTTTTGTCCGGACTTCCTTTGCGGTAGCGAGGCATGGCTCGAGCACATGCTAAGCCTTGGCCCCAAAAAGCGACCCTATACAAAAAACACGAATTCCCTTCCGCTTCTTCGGGAAGAATCCGGACTTCGTGTGATCTACGGATTAGCTGCTGCGAGCTGAGAAGCGCAGGCGCCAAAATTGTCAGACTACGCATTTAAACAATTTAAAAGGTGCTTTCTGCAGACCACCCGGCACGATGCGGGACTCGCGAGGAAGACTCGGGCTCTTGAGGACTCCTTCGATGTTCGCTCTGGCCCCATCCTCATTCCCGTCACAGAGCTCTACTATGGAATTGTTTGATCATCCTTGGCTCAGTCCTCGTAGCGTTGCCACATCGTTTGCTGAAGAAGCCTCTCAAGTACAAGAGCCTTCTCGGGGTCACGCACTGCTTCGCGAAGACGGGACAAGGACAACCACCCATACGCCCTGTGCATTGCCTGCACAGCATGCACATGGTTTGCGATCAACTCCTCCACCTTGTGTCGCAAGAAGCCCGACGTCACCATGATCTCTGCACATCTGTTCTGAGTACCTGCCCAGAGAGATGCGCGTTCAAGGATCGTCGCCGTTCGTGCGACGACACACATGCGCAAGTCATGGCTTTGGTTTTGCTTGCTGATCTCCTCCATGATGGGCTTGGCTTCTCGCCAATCTGCAACGAGCAGTATGCTCCCCTTCCGGCCCTCCAGCCAGCTGAGAAAGCCCATGGATTTCTTGTGGCAGACGAACTTGCATCCGAACCTGAACGCAAGAGCTGCCAACTCTTTGCGGACCACGGCCTGCTCCGGCTTCAAGCAATGCTCGAAACACCAAACAAGCCACGTGCGAACTTCATCCGCCTGGGGTCCGGCCTGGCGAGCCATTCAATTGGCGAAAACGGTTGGCCCAAGTCTACAGCACCAAACAAGCGAGCCACTGTTAACACGATGGACACTGGGGCAAGTATCAGTTCTCGGCCCTTCAATCCAAGGCCCTTGACAGCGAAGGCGTCATTCGGGTTATTGGGAATGTGGCATTCATTTTGATTGAGAATAAACAGAAGCAGTAGATTTGCCAACTTCATCGACGGCAACACCCTGCTCATTGTCATGAACAGCATCATGACCAACAGCCATCCCGCCAATGCCTTTGTCATCAGCATCATCATCATCATCATCATCGTCATCAGCATCCTGGGTAGCAACATCCTCTTCTTCTTCCACTATCCATAGACTTAACCATATGGAAACCTCCTTGGCGATTCCCGTGAAGACTGCACCCGACCCTGCCCCCGGGCGGTAGCGTGGGAAACACCGAGGGCCGAGACGGTGTCACCGGGATCGGCCTCGGAGGTAGCGGGCGGGGCCTCGGATCCGAGAAAGACGGGACTCATTTGGGAGTTTCCGAAAATTTGGGATACCTTATTTGGGGGTCCTTATAATAAGGATCCTACTATTTAGGGTACTACATTTTTTGTTTTAAAGTGTGTTGGGGCCTTTCTCGTGCAGGACACATTTTCATGGTGGGGCTTAGGGTTGCGACAAGTTTGGGGTTCAGGGTTCAGGCGGTGGTCGGGTCTAGTGTTTTGGGTGTAGACTGAAGTTCATGATGATGGTGATGGACATGATGATGATGGTGATGAGGCGGAAGGATGATGATGATGAGGATGATGATAAAGATGGTGATGACGATGATGATGGTGATGATGATGGTGATGATGATGATGGTGATGATGATGATGATTATTATTATGAGGCGGAAGATGATGAGGATGCTGATGATGATGGTGACGATGATGATGATGATGATGACGATGCTGGTGATGCACGGGATGATGAGAACGATGACGACGACGAGGATGATGATGATGATGACGGTGAAGATGAAGATGAACATGAAGATGAACATGAAGATGATGACGATGATGATGGTGATGGTGATGATGATGGTGGTGGTGGTGGTGATGGTGACGATGACGATTAAGGTGATGACGATGATAATGATGATGGTGGTGATGGTGATGACGATAGCATGAGAAGCAGAACAACCTTGCTAACCATCTCAGAACAATCATGATATGTTGCTAGCAGCACTGATCAAGTCATTTTCTCAGAAACAGCAAAAATTACTGGCAGCGCGGCAACGATTGTGGCAGCAGCACGAAATAGCACAAAGGCAACAGCCAGACGGAACAGGGAGAACAGCCAGGAATCCTGAACACTCAATCCCAAAACCAATGCCTCGCAGCCCACAAGCCCCAGCAACCCTTCAAGCAGGGCCAACAGATGCTGGGCCTGGAGGGTTAGAGGCTTCAGACGCAGCAGCGAAAGAAAGTTCACAGGGGTTCGGCACTTCATCCCACCGATGAACATGACGACAGCATGAGCTACGGTGACAGGTATCAATCAGAACAAGCATGACAACTCTGTGATGGCAGCAAGAGCAGCAGCAGCAGCAACAACAACAACAACAGCGATGGGAGTAATCACAGTAACCACGGCCAGAATTAAGAGGGGAACCAGTGCTAAAGGTCTACGAAATCAGATGTCCGAAGTGGGGAAGTTCCTGATTCAAGACGACCGCCGTAGTTCGGGTGTGCAGCCAAAGGTGTTTCTAGACCCCGTACAGCTTAGTGGCTTTTTTTGGGCCTTTAAACTGGACGTCAGATGGTCTAAGAGCCAGTCTGGGGCCAAGGCTTTGTCCTGAAAAGATCATATGAATTTGAGAAACTCCGCCGAGATCAACCATAAGCATCCCAACACGAAGAGCTATCGTCTTAAGCAGGATGCTTGTGCCTTTCTCCGAATACTAGTAGCCACGTGAATTTGTTTGTTGTGCTGTCCCGATAAAAGCCCGAAGCCCTGCACACTTCGGCCGTAAATCCTGAACCCTAAACCCTGAAACCCCTGTAGATCCCTTATGGTACCCTTATAGCTCCCTTATAATAACCCCTATAGATCGCTTTCCCTAAACCCTAACGACTGAAACCTTGGCTCCCAAGTCTGCGGCCCCTGCGGCACTACGCCGCAGCCTCGTCCGGCCGTCGGTTTGGTGGCCGTGGCCTGACACCTCGCAGGAAAGGTATCAAAAACGAGCCGAATAGTAACACGAATGATGCAAGTTTCGGGGCCCACTGTACTACAAATATAATAAGGAACCCCCAAAAATATAGGTAATTGCTTAGGCGTAATAACAGTGTCGGTACAGAGTTTCTAGTAACGCCAGCTCAGAGAAGTTCTTGCGTGCAGGCTCATTCTCAAGGCTCAGGTGCCAAGGGCTAAGGCGGCCGACGAATCAGCGCTTGAGGGATATATGAAATTGCATTAAATTTAGGGTTTAGGGTTTAGGATTTAAGGGTTAGGGTTTAGGGTTTAAGGTTTAGGGTTTAAGGGTTTAGGGTTTGAGGGTTAGGGTTTAAGGTTTAGGGTTTAGAGTTCAAGGGTTTTAGGGTTTAAGGGTTTAGGGTTTTGCGCCTCATAAGAAAGCCCTTGTGACAACCTCTATAACATCTTCTTACAGCAACCTTATGTGAACAATGAGAACTGTACTATACTGAATTTAGAACCCTAGCAAATATTATAATTCTAGCTGTTTCTTAGGGATTATAATAACCAACAACTAAAAGTTATTTCTAAGTACCCCTAAGTGTAATTCAAGACTTTGCCCTGGCGCGCCAAGGCTGGGCGCCGTCTTTTAGGAGGATTCTATGATAAACCTTCTTACGGGCTTTGCGAGGGTTATGTGCAGGTTTGTATGGACATGATGAAGTTTGCAATTGCGCTTGTGAGTGTAAGAAGGGCTGTGAGAACTCTTCAAACAGAGGTTGCATCGGTTTTGCGTGTGTTTCACAGGGGCCATGGTCAAGGTTATGTTTTCCGTGGCAAGAGGGGTGTCGAATAGTTGCAAGAGTTTCATAACTTGCCTCTAAGCGCTGCTGCATGACATGCCAAAAATACAGAGGGGTGGACCCGAAACCCTTCGCCTTAGCACCTTCAAACAAACCTGCAGATAAGTACATGTAGTAGAGCCCTTGCACGAACCCCGACCTCGCCGTAAAGGTTTTAACACGAGAAGGCTCGTGTTCGCCTCTTAAACCCTAAACCCCTACTTAAAGGATCATGGGACTTAGTACCTAGGCTTATAATTAGGGTAACTATACTTATAACCCCAACTAAGGTACTTCTAACCTTACTTACTAAGTCTCATGATCCCCATTATAGAAGCCCTATACATCCCTTTAAGGAACCCTATTATAGAACCATAAGGAGCCCTAAGCCTTACTTACTAAGTCCCATGATCCTCCAAGTGGAACACCCGGATGCCTCGCCGCGGTAGCCGCTGCCAAGCGCCTGGCAGCCGCGGCTTGCGTCGCCTGCGGCACCTGAAAAGCTCAAGTCTGTCGGCTAAGAGGAACTTGGAGGATCATGGGACTTAGTAAGTAAGGTTATAAGTACCTTCATTGGGGTTATAAGTATAGTTGTTATAACTATAACCCTAGTTACTAAGTCCCATGATCCTTTAAGAAGGGTTTAGGGTGTAGGGGGTTCAGGGTTTGGTTGTCCCTCCTTGAGGGCTTAGGGCTTTGGGTGTTTGAGGGCTTGAAGCCCTTGGGGTGCAGGGCTTTTAGGGTCTCAAGGTTTGGGGTTTGAAGTCTTGAGCGTAGAGCTCGCCATTGGCCGTGAAAGCATAGAAGTTCAGTCTTTGATGCGGCTCTGGAGGTCAGGTGCAGGACGGAACCCTCTATGGCTCTTTACAGGGGAGAAGGGCTTTATCAGGCTTGATGGGGCTTGATAAACGAGGGCTTCAGGTTTCACGGCTGTTTTAGTTTTCGGATACAGGGTCAAGAAAAATGAAAATCAATTCAGAAGCCCTATTAAAGTCCTGATGAGTGAAGGGAGAAGGAAGGAATCAGCGGTCTGAACAGACATAGCACTTCCACCCTCGGCTTGAGCTGTGAACCTCGGGAATTGAAACTTCGGAGACCCCGCCCGGTAACCCGGCATCCGACCCGCTGACCTAAACCCTACACCCTAAACCCAAAACTCTAAACCCAAAACCTAGAGCCTCGGAGACCATCGCATGCTGTCTGGTGTAGGGATTTAGGGTTCAGGTCCGTTTAGGGTTTAGGGGTTTGGGGTTTAAGGGTTTAGGGTTTAGGGGTTTAGAGTTTAGGAAAAACTCTAAACCCCTAACCGCCTTAATCGCAAACCCTCCGAACCGGCACCCGTACTGAGGCACTGCACACCTCAAACCCTAAACCCAAAACGCTCGCGAACTCTTATGCAAGGGCCTTAATTAGAGTAGGGGCTCCATTAAAGGGGTCTATAAGGATTACTATAAGGGCTATAGGGGCCTTGATAATTAGAATAGGGTTTTGGGGCCCATTCTACCAAAAATAGCAAGGAGGAACCCCCAAAAATAGTAAAGCTAATGATTTAGGACCCCTTTAAAGGACCTCTCTTAAAGGAACCCAAAGGCCCTCAGGTATACGTAATTCTAAATCCCAGACACCTTGAAAGTCGCAGATCCTCCGAGTCTCAACCCATTTGGGGTTTAGGGTTTAGGGGTTCTGTACAGACCTCGATGACTCTATGAAACCTAACACCCCGCACCTAAACCCCTGCAAAACACATGTCCAGAAGCCCTACCCTGGCGGTAGAGGCCTAAGCGAAACAACATGTTAAAACCTTGACAAAACCGTCATCAAAACACCCAGATAAGACTCTAACAATGTCATGATAGCACCCGTCTAAGACGATCTGAGGAAAACCCTAAACCCTAAACCTAAACCCTAAACCTAAACCCTAAACCCTAAACCCTAAACCCTAAACTCTAAACCCTAAACCCTTTCAAGAAAGCCTGTCAGTAGAGGCCAGAAGCCTGAGAACCCGTATGAAACCGAACCAAAAAGCCCTATCAAGCCGTCATAGCACCCTCGGAGATGCACCCAAACCCCTACATCATCACAAATCCCTTTAAAAGCCCAAATTCGTCACAAACCCCTTAAAAAGCCCCCTACATCATCAAAAACCCCTGAAAAGCCCCAAAATCATCAAACCTCCCTTAAAAGAGCCCCGAATCGCCACAAGCCCCCTGAAAAAGGCCTGTCGGTAGAGGCCGTCCGAGCCAACAAACTGCACTTCCGCATGCGCTCGCGGATCGAATGCAGCGCCGACCTCCGGGTGCTTGGAGGATCAGGGGACTTAGTAAGTGAGGTTATAATTCCCCTAATTGGGGTTATAGGTACTTATAAATATAGCTACCTTATTTATAACCCTAGTCACTAAGTCCCATGATCCTTTAAGTGGAGTGCTTCTGGAGCTTTAAGGCCCTTTTAGGGCCTTAGGGTTTAGTTTTTCTGGGTTTAGGGTTTAGGGGTTTAGGGGTTTAGGGGTTTAGGGTTTTAGGGGTTTAGGGGTTTAGGGGTTTAGGGGTTTTGGGTTGGGGGTTCTGGGTTTAGGCGTTTGGGGTTTTTGTTTTTTTTTCTCCTCGTTCAGGGTCTAGGATTTGGCTTAGGATTTAGGGTTGAGGGTTCAGCGTTTTGGGGTACTGGGCTTTAGATGGCTTTAGGGTTGAAGGCTTGGGGTTTTGGGGTTTGGGGTTCTCGGGTTAGGGTTCTAGGGTTTAGGGTGTAGGACTTCAGGACTGAGGGAGTGTTTGGAGCATCATGGGACTTAGTAAGTAAGGTTATAAATACCTTAGTTGGGGTTATAAGTATAGTTACCCTAATAAAAAAAACCCTAGTTACTAAGTCCCATGATCCTCCAAGTGGAGTCTTGAGTCAAGTTCTGGTAGGAGTCCAAACGGTGCTAGCTGAGACCACGAGGGCCTCGCAGGGTTTGTCATGCCTTCACGGGGGTTGAATTAAGCCAGGGGCTTGGGATGTCGCAGTGTTTCAACCCGGAAGATGCCAACATCTGGCAAGCTGCGGGTTGAGGAGTGAGGGCTGGGGTTCCTTACCTTTGAATGGAGGGGGCCTTATAAAGGGGTCTATAAGGGTTACTATAAGGGATTTATAAGGGTACTATAATAGAGGGGCCTTAATAATCCTGTAACTTACCTTTGGTTAGTAGGGAATGGAGGAATGGGGTACAATTATAACTACTATTACATCCATTCGACCATTCCCTACTAACCGAAGGTAGGGTTTTGGGTTTTGGGTTTCGGGCTCCATCTTTGTGTTCCTGGTCCTCTTCATATGGGCAGTTCTCTACAGGTGCTGTTCTGGATCCCACAAAGACTGCGTCACGGTTCTGGTACAAAGACGGACTTTAAAGAGTACGAAAGATCAACCCAAACTTAAAGAACCTCCTATATACTGTGGCTAAATACACAGTTCACATTTGACATGTTGGCAACATGCTCTACGTTCTGTCAGTTTGGTCGCAACGCTGATTTTCGTAAGGTCTTTATGTTCGGCATAGTACTCAGTTTTCCAGACGGTCAGACTTGCAAGAAGGATTTGTCTATGCCTGATGCTCTGCATTTGCTTACTGCTTTCTTTGTCCTGCGCTTTGGGCATATTTTACAATATTTTTTACATGTGCGCTAGTTTGCTATTCTTGGAGCTACACCCTTGCACCGAATGTCGGACCTTCATGCAGGAGGGGAGCCATTCGGCATACCAATTAAGTACATGTCTATGATCGAAGACCTTTCTGGAGAGACTCAGCATCTCTATGCCAACACGCTCATATGCACATGTCTATGATAGTTTGTCGCGGTCCTCTCTGCTGAGAGAGCTGTTGAGATGTGCTGCTGCCCTTCACGTGGAATCAACACAGCTTGAGCCTCATGCAAACATGAGCAGGCCGCTGACTCCTCACTGTGACGATGCGCATGCGGCCGAACTCACACCTCCCGACTTAAAGGATCATGGGACTTAGTAACTAGGGTTATAATTAGGGTAACTATACTTATAACCCCAATTAAGGTACTTATAACCTTACTTACTAAGTCCCATGATCCTCCAAGTATCATCGATCCTCGCGAGCGTCTTTTTTGATTCTCCGAAAAATCCAGAGGTCAGGGCTCTGCTCCCCGCTCCCCGCGACCTCCTCATTCTCCGAGGACCTTTTCGGACTTGCCTGACAGAAAGGGGCACCCCAACACCCATGTGGGCGTTTCCGAAAATAGGGGACCCTAATATGGTACCCGAAATAGTAGGATCGTTATTATAAGAACCCCAAAATAAGGTACCCCCTAGTTTTCGGAGACACCCATTCATGTGAAGGTCTTAGGAGCTTGAGGGTTGTCTTGTTTGATGTGGGCCCTTTTCTGCTTCTCGGTACCATCGGAATAGCTGGTGGGTAGAGTCTGAGGGACTGGGATGGGGTGCCCGCAGTATCGAGTGCGTCACCGGAGACCCCAGTGCTTCGGAACATTCCCCATGGCTCATGGGAAAAAGGAAGCAAGTCTGCCAAAGCTGCGGTCACACATGCTGCTGATAACCTTGTGCACAGCGCCGTCAGTGGAAGGCATGATGGCCCAGATGGGGAAAACATTCCTTTCGACGAATGAAGGTGTCTCGAGTTATGTGCATGATGGCTCGAAGGGGAAACATGCCACTCAAACAACAAAGATGACTGCTGCAAGGAGCGACGTGAAAAGCTGCTATTTACCTTGTTACACAACGAACCTGGTTTGGTTGCCGTGTGGTGTGGTGGTTGGGAACCACTGGGCAAACAACAGTCGCCCATTTTGGCCGCTGCAGAAGACAGGTCAATGCCCTTGCAGGGTCGCGGTTGATTTCAGATCTCACAGCTGGACGACGAATTCTGCAGGCCGGCGTGCTGGTTTTCTTCATGGGAACCCTTATTGCTGAATGCTAGGCATATGCTCGAGAAAATGTCGCCCAACAACTTTGCGTGTTGCATGAGATGGAGGTGTGCCAGCTGTCGTGAACACCTTGATGCGGAGGCAGCTGAGGCTGCGACAGTGGCACCAGGTGGGCATGAAGACAAGCATTTCTGGTGCACGGGTGACGCCGAGTCGCGCGCTGCGGCGTGGACTCGTAAGACAGCCAAGTTGAGCATGGACTTCCGAGATCCACGTGAGCAAGCAGTCAAGTGTCAAACATGCTTTGACCGACTACAGTAGTGCGGAAGGGACTGGATGCCACGGAAATCAGACTTGTGCTTTGGGATCCAGGCGGCAACACCTAAGATGAATGCGGGCTCGCCGTTGTCGTGTTGGCTCAGGAAGCAAGACGGTGAACGCAGCGCGCTGTAAAGCTTTCGCTTCGCAGTGACTGAGTTGAGGGTACACTTCGCCCCTGCTGCGCCACACTTTTCCAGTTTCGTCGAATAAAGGCGCCGGGATAATTAGGAGACAGGGTTTTGGGGCCCTTTGTACTATAACTACAATAAGGAACCCCCAAAATAGTATAGTCGTGAGGCGGAGACAGCAGCATGAGCTGGTCCTCCCCCCCGTCCCCCCGAGCCATCACTCCTAGTGCTGTCGGCCTTCAGGAGAGGCCCTTAGTCTCTGAGGATGGAATTCAATGCATGAGTTTTGGGACGCGCCGTAAAGCCGCATCCCTGAAGCTTCAGCCCCAAACTCCCCAACCCTACTTGGAGGATCATGGGACTTAGTAAGTAAGGTAAGTAAGGTTTAGGGTTCCTTATGGTTCTATAATAGGGTTCCTTTAAGGGATCTATAGGCTTCTATAATGGGGATCATGGGACTTAGTAAGTAAGGTTATGAGTACCTTAATTGGGGTTATGAGTATAGTTACCCTCTTTTTAACCCTAGTTACTAAGTCCCATGATCCTTTAAGCAGACCAAGCCCTAAACTCCTAAACCCCAAACCATAGCACCTAAACTCCGAAGTAAACCCTAAACCCCTAACCCTTGCGTAAACTCCTGATGCTGGGCCTCTCCCCGAATCTCAGGTCAACTTGGGAAGTGTCTCGGCCGGCGATTCGCAGGCTTCCATCAACTTCTGCAAGCCTCCCTGAGGGGTTTCGAGAGGATTTCTTAAGGGTTCAGGGTTGAGGGTTTAGGGTTGTTTCAAGGATTTGTTAGGGGTTTAAGGTTTCGAAGCTTGGGGCTGTGGCTGTTGAGGGTTTCGTAGTTTTGGGTTCTCGGGCTTTAAGGTTTCATAGTTTTGGGTTTTAAGGTTGAGGGTTTGAGGGGCACGAGGCATGAGGTGGTCAAACATCTGCGATGGCGGCGCATAGGGTTTTTGGGGGTTCCGCGTTTATGGCTTAGGGTTTCGAGTTCCGGGCGTATTAGGATTTGGTGTGGGGAACTCTCCGGGGTTTTGGGATTAAGGGTTTTGTGGCTTTTGGGTTGGGTGCGGCCCCCAGTCAGTAATAGTTGAATAATACTCATAATATAGATATATTGGGACCTTAATAGTAGCCCTATTATAGACTATTACTGTATGGGGGCAGTACATAACTTTTGGGGATATGAAGGTGCTTCCGATGGTCATGGTCGGAACGACAGCACTCCCAACGACGACGGCTTTACGCCGTTGTCGCGAAGCCAAGAAAGCCGACGACGGCGGCTTCCCTATACTGAACCTAAACCCCTCGCAAAAAATGATACTTCTAGCTGTTTCTTAGGATTGCAGGAACCAAACATTAACAATCTTGTCTAGGTTCCCCTAAGTTCCGAGCTTTCGGGATTTTTACGTAGCGCCTGGAGGTTCCAAGCCTGCACCCCGAGAGCCCGCAGCAGATGCCTTGGCCGGAGGCTTCAGGGGGGCTTTGAATATCAGCTCCCGGCTTGAAGGAAACATGGAGGCGGCCGGATATCTACTCTAAGGTTTAGGGTTTGGTTTAGGGTTTCAAGCTTTGGGTTTAGGGTTTAGGGTTTGGGGTTCAGGGTTTAGGGTTTCGGGTTTAGGGTTTAGGGTTTAGGGTTTCGGGTTTAGGGTTTCGGGTTTAGGGCTTAGGGGATATCAACACAACTCGCTGGCATGACTGGCACCTGTTCAGCCTGGGGCATAAAATGTCTTCACTTCGGACTTGGCATCCGTCACATATCCATCACCTTCCTGGAGGGTGTCTGGGAACTGCGGGGGCTTTTCTTGTCTGACCGCTGCACTCTGCTCGCAAATTCCTCTCTTCGTCTTGACTTCAAGGTTCACCTCGCAAGCGCCTGGATCCTTCTTCAAGCTTCCGGGTTCGTTAAAGGTTTAGGTGTTCAGGGGTTCAGCGGCTCAGGGCTACTTAAAGGATCATGGGACTTAGTAACTAGGGTTACAATTAGGGTAACTATACTTATAACCCCAATTAAGGTACTTATAACCTTACTTACTAAGTCCCATGATCCTCCAAGTAGGGCCTCATGCCAATATTTTCATGCCATGGGGCACCGCCTTCAGACTGTCGTTGCCTGAGCAGGGATGATCCCGGTTTATAAGGTTTGGGGTTTAGGGTTTAGGGTTTAGGATCCCGGTTTATAAACTTTGGGGTTTAGCGGGGGTGACCCAAACCTCCCGCTTTCCTACATGCTTGGGGTTTGGAGTTTAGGATGCCTAATGCTTCAAATGGGAGTTTCCGAAAATGGGGGACCCTAATATAGTACCCCAAATAGTAGGATCCTTATTATAAGGACCCCCAAATAAGGTACCCCTAATTTTCGGAAACTCCCAACTTCTTTTTTTTCAAAGTTGAGGTGACTTTTGTAGGCCGGCGGTGGCTCTCCCATGTTGGGGTTCCTCAGGCTTTGGATCCTGCACAGAATCCGTTGCGGTGGCTGAGGAAGGAAGCATGTAAGCTAGGTTCTGGGTTCTTGGTTTTTTTTGAAGGGCCCTTTTTCCGTCTGCACTGGTTTAGGGTTTAGGGTTTTACTTACAGGCTAGCGTATTCTGGCGGACCGAAATGTCCATAAACCCCGACCTGAATACCTACACCTGCGGTTTTCCTGGCGTGTCATGTACAGTCAGCATCGCTCTTGTTGCAGGGGCAAACGCGGAAAATCAGCATACACCGCAGAACCCATTCGATATGACGATGATGTGTTGATGCTGAGGCTGAGGAGCCCATTATATTACAATCATAAGAAGGAACCCCCCAAAATAGTATTGGTAATTATTTAGGCCCCTATAGTACGTATCGGCAGTTGAGACTTCTTGCCTTTGCGATTTAGCCTCGAGGGATGAAGGGGTTTAGGGGTTTATGGGTTTAGGGGTTAGGGGTTAGGGGTTTAGGGTTGAGGAATTTAGCCGTTTAGGTTTTAGGGGTCTTCGGGATGGTGGAGTCCTCAGGCTGGGCTTGGGGTCTCCCGGCAAGGCGAATCTTAACAGCCCCAGTGGACCTGCAACATTCGACCTAAACCCTCTCATCTCAGGGCTTCGAAACCCTTATAGAATCCTACTCCCGAACCCTGAACCCCTGCTCCCTAAACCCCAGTATATGCACGTGTATGTATGTGTATATATATATATGTCTATATATATATATATATATGTATACTAGACTTTTCTTTACAGAAAATAACATATTACAGGCCCTACATATACATAGATATGTACAATAATAATACACATATATGCATATATATATATAGATATCACGATCAAGGCCTCGACGGCAGACGCAGACGACCTCGCAGTCCGCGCTCGGCTTCGGAAGGAGCTCGGAGATCTTCTCCAAGCACTCCTCCAGGGTTCCTTTAAAGGGCTCCTTTAAGGGATACTGTAACGGTTTAAGGGTTCCTTCAAGGGATACTATAAGGGATCAATAATGCTTCCTTTAAGGGATACTGTAAGGGTATTATGATGGTTTCTATGGGAGTTCCTTTAAGGGGTTCCTTTAAAGGGTTCCTTTAAGGGATACTATCAGGGTACTGGTAGTACCTTTCTAGATGGGTACTATAGTATGGGGGCCTTACTAATTAGACTGGGGTTCCTTTAAAGGGTTCCTATAAGGGCTTCGGGTTTGCTATACAGGTGACAAAAAGGGCGACTGCAAAGGGCTAGATGCAGAGCCTCTAGATAGTAAGAGTATGAGAGAGCAGTAGGACGAGGATTCCTAGGTTGTCCACCAAGAACGGCTCAGAGTTTAGACTCTGGTTTGGGAGGGGGTCCGTGGAAGGTGACCCTCCCCGGGCTCTCCGATCAACCACATGCTTTAAGGGCTTCAGGGTTGAGGCTTTAAGGCTTGGGGGGTTGAAGATTCCGGGTTCAAGCTGTCAGAGCACCTAAAGGAACCATTATGGATCCCTTATAGTATCCCTTTAAAGGACCCCTTAGAAACCATTATAGATCCCTTACAGTATCCCCTTCAGATTCTCCAGTGCTCAGCTGCCCTGCGCCCGGCCAGCCTTGTCCTTAGCCCCGAGGCTACCCTGAAGCACGGTTTAGGGTTTAGGGTTTAGGGTTTCGGGTTTCGGGTTTAGGGTTTAGACCGTGAAGGTCTTAAGTCGCAGACATTCAATCCCCGTGAACCCGGACACACTAGATGAACCCCCTTGTTCAATCGCCTTGTCGTCCGAAAACTTGATCTTGCGCAGTGGCCAGTTGTGGGCGCCCTGCGAAAAAGGGGTCAAAGTTCAACAGTCCGCAATCCCAGAAGTCAAAGGCAATGGGGCAGAATCAATGGCAGTGCCAATATCAGGGCCCATTTTTGACCAGTGCTCGCGTCATGAAGATTACGCTTGTTTTGGTGGCGTATCTAGAAGATGAGCGCAACTTCACGTTCAGAACTGGTAGCTTCTCACGTTGGGAGATCCCCTGTCGAAGGGTGTTGTCACTAGATTCACTAGAGCCGATGGTCCGAAGTCCACTTTCCGAATCCCAGCATCGCTAACCCTACTCGCTTTGGGCTATCATCCCCAAACCGCTAACCGCACCCACCTGAAATCCAATTTTTAGACTCTCATATCACTCGTGTCCAACCTACTAACCTCGAAGTTACTGCCTTATCAGCTTGTACAGACCCCAGAAACTTCTCAACGATCCCTCGCCTTAACAAATCAAGAAACTCTCGACATCAAACCCCTCAAACCTGAAAGAACACGCTAAACCCAGAATTTGCTGCAGCTCCGAAAACCCCCAACCCATGAAGCCCAAAACCCTACACCTCTAAACCCCTAAAACGTCACGTCCAGCCTAAAGACCCTGTAAAGGCACCATCGACCATGCAAGAATCACAAGTTCAACAAACTGTTCAACCAGAGGCCAGAAAAGAACTGAACAGTCGGCCTGCAACCGGCAAACTGCAAAGTGGCTGGGCTGCCTCCCCGAGATAGCCGGCAAGAGGCTTTGAAGGGCTACCGTAGGGCTTTGAAGGGCTACTGCGGGGTAACGGGTTTAGGGTGTACGTAGGGGCTTTGATGGCCTATTGTAGGGCCTTTACTTTAGAAGGAAGTTTGATGGGATGCACAGGGGCTTTTATGCGAGCGATTTCGGGGCTTTGTAGGGGCTTAAGGGCTTTGGGCCGGCGACTGCATGTATAGAGCTTTATAGGTACTCGGGGGATGTAGGGTTTGGGGTTTTGGTTCAGGATTGAGTCGGGGATTAGGATTCTAAAGGTTTGCTCTGGGACTCGCCCCTGAGCGTATTGGGAGGCAACGTACTTGAAGGTCTATGAGTCTTGTGGGTTTTCGTGGGTTTCCGGATCACTGTTCAGTCAGCGCAAAACCCAAATTCTAATCCCTAGCCGCTAAAGCCCGAAACCCCACACCTGGGCTTTGAATTGCTGGGTGGCGACTGTACCTGGGATCCGGATATCAAAGCCTCGGAACGGGGCAGGAGTGCTGCACCGAGTTTAGGTTCGGGTTTGTGGCTCAGGATATCGGGTTCAGGGGTTACGATATGGAACTTAAGGACTTAGGAGTTTGAAGGTTTTGGAACTTAGGAACTAGGATTCCGGGTTTGAGGCTTAGGGCTCTACGCAACGAACCATCAGCACTCCGTCCTCAACGCCTGAATCCTGGACCCCAAACCCTGTACAGCCTCTTCTGAAGACAGCATCACAGCCCTGGCCTCACGTCCAGGAGGAGCGTGGGAATTTTGGCCAGAAGCCGGGCACGAAGCTCGGACGCAGACATGCCTTGGCTTCAGGACTGCCGTGGATTGGCTCTTTGTGTTCGAAGCCTCTTTTCCGTCACGCGGCGTCTGGAGAAGGAAAGCCCTCATGGGCTTCGGGTCTAGGCCCTAAGCTTTCGGGTTACGGGGGTCGGGGGTAGGGCTCAGAGCTACATAGAGTGGAAGGGAAGAAAGAAGGATGACAACATGTCTTGCGTCGGTTTCACTTCAACATACAACTCTTTCTGACTCCCCCAAGGGAGCCCGCTTCATCAATTCAGCGATACCATACAGATGACATGTTTTTTTCTTCGTGGCTCTGTCCGAAGTACTTCGGTGAATTCCGGCTTCCGGTATTGGACGCTCTGGCACTGGGACACTGCAGTGCGGCAAGCCGGTCGCAGACTGCAGCCGCCTGCCGCATGCATCTGGGACATGTGTCGGCAACTGCCGAACAAAGCAGCAACCTTGCGGCGTAGTCCCACAAGAATGGCTTCTTGGTTTTGCTCGTCACGGACATGCCATGTCGAAACTCTTCGCGGTGGAGGAGAGCGGCAGTCACTATGATGGATACTCGCCAGGCAGTGTCTGCGGCGATGCCAGAGTGAACCGTGGAATTGAACGGCGTCATCAAGATCTGCCCATTTCCCCATCCAGCTGCTATGGCGTTGATAGCCCCGATCACATGGGGCGCGAACATCAGGGAACACCAGAACTGGTGGGTCATGGAACTGGCTCCTGCATAAGTGCCTCAACCTCAATGCGTAACTCCAGAGAGCATACTCAAAGAGCAGAAGTGGCTGCAGCCGTCGCCACCCACATCGCCCGGAAAGCGAGCATGCCGGATTGCAGGTGCACCAGATCGAAGCTAGCACGCAGCAGCACTCTCACCTCCTGCGCCGCGACCGTAGCAAGCGGGTCATGACCTGGAACTCCTACGTGAAAGAACTCCTCGCAACCCGTGCAAGCAACATCGTCGCAATGAGCTGCAACCGCGAACCAGACATCACCCAAGCGGGTATTGCCTTTGCTTGACTTGCCCAACAGTACTTGTGCAGCTTTCCGAACCGGACCAAACATGGCATCGAGATCAGTATGTTGCTGTAGTATAGTGATACTATGTGCAAGGTGGGGTTAGTCGCATTTAGCGGTCGGCTGTCCGACGCAAGCTTTGCAATTCCGCGCGTTCGGACTCATCGATGCAACACCGGCTGTGAGCCAGTGTGGCGCACCTTGGCCGTGTCCTATACTGAAAACTATGCCATCTACCATGCTACATACTATGCTATCTACTATGCTATCTACTATGCTATCTACTATGCTATATACTATGCTATCTACTATGCTATAAACTATACTCTACTATGTGCGAGCATCATCTTCGTATCTGGTCCTGCAACCCTTGAGCCCGGAACCCAGCCCCTTGCGAGACGAAGTGACTTTCCGTGGCATCACCGGCCATGTAGGGGCAACAGCCTGAAATCCGTCTCAGATTCCCACTTCAACTTTACTTACATTTTAGTGCCCACTGTTTGAGAGCTTGGGGGACCTTTGAGAGTGGATGGCTCCGGGATGTTCTTCAGACCCGCGGAATACAAGAGAGGCGTGCTATTGGAGTTGTCGCTGCCCGGGTTTGTGGTCCAGAGTCCAGTGCTGAGGATTTAGGGTTGTCGCTTTTAGGGTTACGACTGATGGTACTCCAATCCCGATCATCTTTCGTCCTCACCAGTCTTGCCCTTTTTGCCCTTCCAAAGCATCACAAAGCACTTTTGCGTACTCAGCATGACGACCGTGTGATTGTCATTCTTACGCGCATAACCCTGAACGCGAGAAACAAAAATATCCTAGAACGTTGTCCCATCCCGATAGGGTTGGGTGTATGGTTCGGAGGCATGTACACTTGGTCCTGATGAGCACTGAAGCATCAAACCCTGCAACCTCAATCCCAAACGAACCCAAAACCCCAACCTCTGAACCCCAGACCCTACCCATAGCAAAAAAAGTCCCTCGACCTGGCCGGGGGTTTAGGGTTTAGGGTAGGGACTACCCCTATAGATCCCTTATAGTACCCTTATAGATCCCTTATAATAACACATATAGATCCCTTTAAAGGAACCCTAAACCCTAAACGGTTCCCAGCAGGCTGAGTCCCCGCCTTCGGGCGGCAGCGTCCGCTGGCTGGCATCGTTGGCTTTCAGTCTCGGGGTTTAGGGTTTAGGGTTCCTTTAAAGGGATCTATAAGGGTTATTATAAGGGGTCTATGGGGTACTATAAGGGATCTATAGGGGTTTCAGGGTTTAGGGTTTAGGGTTTAGGATGTTTGGGTATCTTTGGGGATTTGGGTTGGGAGTGTAGGTTCTGGGGTAGTTGTGTTCGGAGTTCTGTGCAGAGCGGAGGGTTGCGGGTTTAGGGACTGAAGGCTTGCAGTTTGGACTTTAGAGTTTTTGTGGTGGAAGTTGGAAGGATTTAGGTTGTTAATGCGGACTATGCGTGGCGAACGAAACTGCCCGTTCCCACAACCCGAGAGCGATCCTTCTGTAAGCTGACGGAAAAACGGAACTCCGAAACCCATCTTCCCCGAGGAAATAGTGGGGAGGAGTCATTTGGATTTAGTTATCCAGGGTATTAGGGCTTGGGGTGGGTGTGGGGTTCTGACTGGCCTGCTCAAATTCACCATGTAGGTCGGCTGCAAGATGTTCGTGGCATCATAGCACAGCATCTTCCCCCTCACACGCCGGGGTTTGGAGTTCAGGTATTGTGCGACAGGGTTTGATGCTGGGTCAGACCGTTCGCGATGTCAGTCAAGATCTTGTAGGACTGCTTCCAAAAGCCGTCTTCCTAATTACGGTGACAAGTTGGCATCTGTTACATTACAACACCCGTGCCACACAAGTACAACACGAATGAGAGCTCTCACTGCCTCCGCGACCAAACAAACGAATACCCCAGCCCTTTTCCGCAATCAATATGAGATCCGTGGAACCGTGGAACGTAAGCCCGAGATCCTAAAAACTCTTCAAAAAACTGGAGAAATCGCTCCATGGCCACAGCAGAGGGGTTAGGGAACACTTGCGGGCACCCAGGAGCATAGAGCGGCGGGCCACTGCAAAAGGGAAGCGAAACCTCTTACAAGATGCCTGAACTATAAACCGTCTGAACCTACCTAAACCCTAAACCTTTAACCGTCTGAACCTAAAACCCTACATTTCTGGGACTTCACCACACAGCAGGACATGAGTCGACCACCGCCTCAAACAGGACTCATGAAGCGGCGATGACTTTGCAAGGACCTGCGGCTGGATCGCGGCCCATGCTTGAAACATTGCCCCTTTGGTTGAATCTGCCCAACGTCGCATCTTGCGCGACCTGCTCCCTTTCCCCATGCACCAGCGAGTTGTGCTCAACGCGGTTCACAGACACAACAAGCAAGCTGCCCAGACAAGATGACACATCCTTGTCATAAGTGTCGCTGTGCTGTGCAGTATGGATGCGGTGTTTATATGTGGGGCCACCTGCAAGACACTATACATAGTCTGAAGAAGAACACCCCGCGTAAGATTCTATGCCACGATAGCAGTCTTCTTGGTGTGATGCAACAACGTGCAGATCCTGTATGGGGCTAAAGTGTGCATGCTATGAGGTAGCATCGTGAAGCTCGGCATCCTGCGCGTGCAACGGGGGAGCATATGAAGCTCGGCATGCACCTTCTCTGGCCCCAAGCAGGCATGACGAAACGTGAGACGGAAGATCTCGTAACTATGCTACAACCCTAAAACCCCCAAACACTAAGCATCCCTAAAACCTTGATGAAAATGCTTCGCTGAAATCACCCTAAACCCCTAAACCCCAAACCCTAAACCCGAAAGCCCTCAACCCTAATCCCTAAACCCTAGAGATCCCTTTAAGGAACCCCTATAGATCCCTTTAAAGGGGCCTTCATGACTTCCAGTGCTGCCATGGACCCGATGACTCCCACCACAGGGCCGAGGACTCCGCTCTCCTTCGCAAGGCTCCGAAAGGGTCCAAGGGGCTCTGAGCCAAACGGAGCTAGGGTTTAGGGTTTAGGGAGTAGGGGGTAGTAGTAGTAGTAGTAGTAGTAGTAGTAGCAGCAATTGGTATAATGGCCGTCTTGAACAATTACTGCTCGCGCGACTACGATGTACATTATGATTCTTGAATCCATACTATTGGGATCGCACTTCTGACCCGTATCCCGGTTTAGGATCTCTCGGCCTTGGTTTCCCAGATTCGGTTTCACGGAGCAAGGCGGGCTTAAGCCAGAAAGGCGCCAAATCGAAGTCACCAACCGCAGACTGCCAGAAATCGAAACTCAGAAGGCCCAAATCCCACAAGGGTTTAGGGTTTAGGGTTTAGGGTTTAGGGTTTAGGGTTTAGGGTTTAGGGTTTAGGGTTTAGGGTTTAGGGTTTAGGGTTTAGGGCCTAAGAGTTGCTAGGGGAAGGTTGCGACAAGCATAATAGGGGCCCCCTCAAGGAACCAAGGAACCCTTAAACGAAACCTTGGAGGGAACCCCTTACAGGAACCCTAAAATCGAAATAGATATTAAAGAGCCCTCATGGTATAGTATCCCTTGAGGGAACCCCTTAAGGGAACCTTTAATAAAGGAACCCGTAATGGCCTCGCAGGAGGCGACTTGGGCCAAGTCTGCTTCGGCGGTCGGTGGGGGAAAAACCTTTGGAGAGCTGGGATCACTTGACTGTCTGGTGCTTAGTAGAATTTGGGGGTTAAGGTGTAGGGTTTAGGACTACGATAATACTATAATACTATTCATTATAAGGAGCCCCTAGGGCTCAGGGTTTAGAGTTTAGGGTCTTTGGAGTGCTTGGGTCGCTTGCTTGGGGGCCTTGGCCAAGAATTGTGCACTGCTCTAGTACAGCATGGTATTATAGGTGCGTTATACTCATGTATATTATGTTCACAAGTCTTAGGTCAAAACATGTAATGCTAGATTGCGCAAATGTGGATACATATTATATATACATATACACAACATTGTATTGTACTATCGGCCTTCTGAAAGGGGTCAGAATGCAAGGGGGGCGGTTCGAGCCCTAAACTCCTCAGCCGTGCAGATAGACACGACAAAGAAGCTCTGCAGCGGCGTGGCCAGCCCTAAACCCTAAACCCTAAACCCTAAGACATGAGGCTTCTGCCGACACTCCTGAGCTCAATTGCTAAAGTGTGGACTCAAATATTAAGGACCCAAACAGGACATCAGCATAAACACTTTATAGGGACATCCTTACCTTATTGGGCCTCAATACTATAATACTATAATGCTACAATACTATAATACTATAATACTATCATACTATAATACTATAATACTATAATACTATAATACTATAATACTATTCATTATAAGGAGCCCCTAAAATATACGCTGCTGCCAAGTCCTCGCTCGTTTCTGGACGGGTCGCGGAGCGGAGACAGGGGCCGCCCTCGAAGTTGTAGATGGCCAGCTGCCCGTAGAGCCTCGGAGACCATCGCATGCTGTCTGGTTTGGGGGTTTAGGGTTTAGGGTTCAAGGATTGGTGAGTGGGGAATGGGTCATGGGGACTCTTTTTGGGGGTTGTATAGGGACTACTATAGGGATCCATTCCCCCATTCCCTACTAAGAACCAGACAGCACAAGCATCAACTTCTTCGACCGTACGACGATCAGCGAGCACCCACCGGCCGTTGATGGCGGCAGCACCCACGTACATCATCTCACATGGCACAGAGAGAACGAGTAGACAGCACCTCCTCACTCGAGATGATACTCTTTATCAACCAAAAAAGCGAGCTACTACGTGCGGAAGAATCTAACATACAACGAAAATACAACGACCCCGAGAACGTCTTCGTCGTCAATGCGATGGTCGTGGACATCACCGTCATCATCATCGCAAACATTACCGTCATGTCATCATCGCTCACAACATCACCACACTCATCATCATCACCACTACTACCGTCATGACTTTCACCACTGTCACCGCCGTCACCGAAACCACCATCATCATCATCACCATCATGATCATCATCATCATCATCATCACGGGCAGCTTTACTCATCATTCCCGGCATCCTGACCAACAGCCGTGCCATCAAAATGTTTCATCACATCTTCTTCTAACATCATCATCATCACCACCATCGCCAAAGCCATGGTCGTCCTCGTCATCACCAGCTTCTTCACCATCTCTCTTTGTTGCCATGAGACGCGACAGAGGACGCCGCTACTAGCGGCTTGCCTGCAGCGACTGCAGCGTCGTTCAGCAAGTAGCGGATTCGTGGGGCATCTGTGCAGTCCACGATCACATCGTAGCCTCCGCTCGGGTGCAAGTTAGGGCGGCATCGCCGACGACATTACAGTACTTGCAAAGGAGTGGCTTTGCATGAGGAAAGCAGCCTCCTCCGTGCCCACTATTCGCTTGAAATGGGCCTGCGGCTGGAAGCAACACTTGAAGGAGGGAACCATCTTCCTTCGAGAATGTCTCGGGAAGCAGTCTCATGACTGCAACCTTGCTCAAACAGTGCAGATGTCTGTCTCCAACTTCCAACCGTGCAAAGTTTTTGAGGATTCCAGCAGCAGCCGTGCAGGATCGAGGCATCCAAACATACATGCAGGCCGTTCCAACTATCAGTCAGCCTCAGCAGTGTCTGAGTGCCTCTCTATCCACCCAGCATCGTCTTCTCCCTCAAACTCTCCTAGACTTCACCCGATCGGAAGTCAGTCGGATCTCAAACCCTACCCATCTCCCTGGCTACCGCCCATACCATTTCGACAGGTCCATGTCCACCCTAGACCCTAAACCCTAAACCCTAAACCTAAACCGTTTTAGGGTGTGTCTTTCCATCTTTCTCTGTCAGGGATGCTTTTTGGGCTTCGGCCGTGGGGGATGTTAGCTCGTTCACGAAGTGATCCAAATCATACCCTCTACTGTCTGGCCTTTCAAGGGTACTATAAGTGTTCTTCTAAGGGATCTACAGGGTTTAGGGTTTTAGGGTCTGGTGCTTAGTAGGGAACGGGGGAATGGGTTATGGGGACGATTATTGGGGATTATGTGGGGACTACTGTTGGGATCCATACCCTCCATTCCCTACTAAGCACCGGGGAGTTGAACACCCAGAGGCTGTGGTTTGACTGTTAGGTGGGAATTTCCGGAACTGAGGAGTACCTCATTTGGGGGTCCTTATAATAAGGATCCTATTATTTAGGGTACTATATTAGGGCCCTCTATTTTCGGAAACCCCCAGATGGCCGGACCTCCACACAGATGTGCGGGTTGCGCTCGCGGCAGGTCTCGGCCAGAGAAACCGCCTTGCCTGAGCAAAGGACTCTTTCAGGAATTAAGACAGTTGAAGGTCTAGGCAACTAAGATTGCGTTCTTGCTAAATGTATGTCATCTGAGAACATGCATTGACAGGCAGCTGGGAACATATCTGAACCGTGAGAACAAAGAAACGTAATCGTCATATGAACCCGCACACACACATGCACAGGCACACATACAGACACACAACCACAAACACATGTGCACAAGAAGAACAAGAAGAAGCAGGTACACGCCCACGAACAGCACCAGCGCATACTGGGTCACACCAAGAATAAGCACCCCCCCGCTTGGCGCTCACACACACACACACGGTTTGTTCTCTTAGAGAACGAACGCGCGAACATTATACACAGTTAAGAATACGCGGGCAAGAAGGGCATGCCTGCATACGCAAGAACACCTACTGGTAACATACCATGCATTGCTGCACACACAAGCACAAGCATACCTGCTAGAATATTTACGTTCATGCATACATGCATACATACATGCATACACACACATACATGTGTACATACAGGCATACACACGGAAATGCAGACGCGCGTAGCTAGCAGAATCTTGCATACATATATTCATTGGCACAGAAGTATGTCCGTTGCTCGAGATGCTTCGGTCAACATTTCGCCAGGGATGCCCGATCTGCCTGTGAAGGTTGGACTCCTGCGCACGTGCAGGGCGAAAGTCATTAAGTGAAAAGAACAGTGGGCGGCGCTCCTCGACGTGATCACCATCCACGATCGCCAGGCGTCCGACGCCTTTCCCAGATGGAGGATAACACTGCACGAAATCAAGGCAGCTGACCATGCGTCGTGCCTGCAGCCGCAAGATACATAGCGACTGGGCATCCCAGTCCACCAGCACCCACGATCAGCACGCTTCCTGGAAAAGACGCCTACAGCATAACCAGAAACAAGGCACTGAATGCTTTACGCTTGAGCTGGGTCTGCTGCACCGTTCTCACGGCAAAGCTGCAGGCAGAAAAGCAGGCTGCCGAGTTCGGGTACAGGTTCGGCAATACACGCAAGGATACTCAGGTAGACACGTCTTACGACACTCCAGGCTTGGACCACCGAGGTCAAATGCGTGCGTAAACAGCCTGAGCCTCACATCAACAACAGCTTTGTGGCTTGCTCACTCTTCACGAGACAAGTTGCCCTAAACCCTAAACCCTAAACCCTGAACCCTAAACCCTAAACCCCGAACCCTAAACCCCAAACCGCCCTAATCCGCTCACTCCAGCAAGCCTTCGGCCCCAGGGGCCGAAGGCAACCGCTTATTGGGGCTTGGATAACTGAGGATCGGAATAATTCATGCAAGCACACGGGATCTGCCATATACATGTGTATATATATATATATATACATGCAAATGAAACAAAACTTAAGTATACAGCTATGTGAAGTCAAACATGTACATGTGTGTTCAAGATCGAGCATCAGAGTGCAAATTCATAAGGTCATTGAACAGTGAATTTGAAACGAACCAGTCTCATCGACTGTCTTTCTAAATTCCATCTACCAAAACACGTCTGCTGCTGTGTATACAGAGATACACCTGTATATGCATACATGCATACACAGGTGCATCATACCTGCCTGGGAAAGAACGTAGCCATGCATGCACATATGCGCATACGTAGATTTAGTTGTATCATTTGGCTGGCTGTTTGGCCTTCTGCTTGGTCATACTGTATTCGCATAGCTGCTCACTCCCTCACTCACAATCACTCACACTCACTCACTCACACATGGGAGTTTCCGAAAATTCGGGACCCTAATATAGTACCTTAACTAGTAGGATCCTTATTATAAGGACCCCAAAATTTTCGGAAACTCCCACATAGAGACTCAGTCAACGCCGATAAGATGGAAGTCCCGGGTCTGAACTCTACACATGGCCAAGGGAGTCGAGAACCTCGGCTCTTCGGCACTTCTCGACATGGACTGCGTCTATTGCGTCTACCGGACTATCTATCCATCGATTAAAACAACCTTTATTTTTCCCACATATATATATATATATTCATATGACAACATGTGCCAGGGTTGCCTATCCGCCTCCTCTTCCCGTGGTAAACCCCGAATATCCTTTAAAGCAGCTTCGGACGTTGGAAACGCATGTCGGATGAGCGATTTCGAAGACTGCAGCGGCTTCCGGTTGGATTCGTAATCAAAACGCTTGCCCGCGGAAGTCGCTTGGAGTCCACTGCATACCCTGCCTACAGCTGTGGAGCGACACGGCTGCGCCCGCACAAGGGGGTAGCGACACGGCTCGGCTCCTCCCTCAAGGAATTAAAACCCAGGTCTCAACCAGGCTTCGAACATAGCTTCACCCAGGATCAACCGGATTCGAACTTGGGTGCACTCTGTTCAAAGCTTTATCCCAAGTCTGAACAACTTATCTGGGTTCCTCCGCAGTTGGGACAAGAGTCGCTTCTTTGAATTTCTCATATTGCATGCTGGCAAAGAGTAACTTTTCACCACCAGAGTTCTGTTCTCACAGGCATGTTGTCATCTTTGCAGCATCTTGGTGCTTCAAGCTTCTTCCAAGATCAATCTGCCGCCAAGTGGACCATGGTGTTGGCTTGGCTGCAACGGACCACCAAGTTGCAGTAGCATCTTTCGGTCCGGCACACGCAGAAAAAGCTTTGCCTGGTATGCATTTTTTTCGCAACTATCGTATGTCGCGCTGCGGTTTAAGCGCTCTAGTATGCTCCATTGCCATTGTGCTCGTGCACATGTGGAAGGGGGGAGTCGTGAACCCAGAACCCTAAACCCTCAACCCAAAACCCTAAACCCTGTCAGCCAGCAAGCTGATTGAACACACTGCCCAGCATGATCTCGTTTGTCGATGGACGATCGCGGCTATTGCGCTGCTACATTTGCTGGTTGGCGATTTAATTGGGTCCGATTGCAAGCGATTGTTTGCGGCACTCATACGCTTGAAAATCTGGTGTTGTCGGAATTTTTGATAGTTTTCAGGTTTACATGCACGCTGGTGTGTGTGTGTGTGTAACCCTGCTTCATGTGTCCTCCAGAGATTTCCCGCTGGCCCTCGGGACCCAACTTCGGCAGAACCAATTGACGGCCATACTGTCCCACTTCCCGACGTGTGAGACCACCTCGAATCTCCACTGCCAACTCAGGATACTCTTCGAAGGTATCATTGCAACTTCCCAACACGAGCCTGTAACATCCGAATATCAACTACAACTCCGTGACTGTGCATAACAGATGTTTTACCGTCAAGGAGCGCTCTGCCAAGCTCACGGTCAAGGCTTCAGGATTGGTGCTTCGTGCAAAAATGAAAGTCGAAAAGAATGCAGGTTCGACTCCAGTCCCTGGCAGGTTCGACTGAAGCTGAGCGGCATCCTGCCCAAAGCTCAGCATCACGTTTCTTGCGAAGGAAACGTCGAAAGGCGGGGAAGCAATCCTTCGGGCTGCAAGCTTGCAAGTTGTGTTTTCGGGATGTCAAGTTGCACATGCAAAGCCAAACTCTTGAAATTTATGGCATTTCTAAGGCCTCAGACGTCTACTATCGGCAACAACCGTAATCCCTTGCTGCAACCCGTCCCCGAAGCACCAAATCGTTCCACTGTGGCCGCCCATGGCAGCACTGTTGGATACCTATCACCAAATGTCCCAGACGGCCGGCTCAGACTGGTCGAAAACTTTTACAAATGAACACGCAGCTTGAACGTGCAACTATGATAGCCCAGAAGCAGCCAGCTACAAGGCCTCAAAGGTCAAAGTTATGTTACGGTGCGTCGTTGCCAGTTTATGCTTGAGGCTCATGGATGCAGCCCCATGTCAAATACCTCTCAAACAGCTGCAGACGACATGGCATACGTGCTGTGATAATCAGACTTCATGCTGAGCATCGTCAAAATATTAATATGCGCTCGTGCGTAGATCCTCTTATGCATGAAAATCATCATCGAGTTAAAGCTCTGTGATATGATTGTTGTGAGCCATCGATGCAAATGGCCACTTTGAGCTTTGCTTTGCATCCCGACGCCCATAAACCATCATGTTGCTATTGATGTCTCACAATTCGAGCCCTGCTTCCGTTTCCAACCGGGGAAGGAGGGGGACTACCCCTTAGGCGAGCACAAACCTCGGACCCCTTCCTTTTAACCAGTGGCGAAAAGTCCGGCAGTTTCTCGAAGGACCGGTCCGGCTCCTGCCTTGGACCTTACGATCACAAACCCAGGGGTTCTCCACTAAGCCGAAATAGATCCATTCATCAGCTGCGGCACTATTGAAAGGTGGCGAAAGCTCCGAGCAAAACAACAACGTCAAGAAAGCTGAAAGCGGCATCCTCGGCTGGAACTTCCCTGTACTTAAAGGATCATGGGACTTAGTAACTAGGGTTATAATTAGGGTAACTATACTTATAACCCCAATTAAGGTACTTATAACCTTACTTACTAAGTCCCATGATCCTCCAAGTAAGGGCCCCTCTGGGCTTCAGGGTCGTCCGGAACGGATCTGAGGCCTCCACGAAGGTTAAAAGGTTGAGGACTGGCATCAAACGAAGATATCAGAAGGTGCTACTATACTGAACTTGGAACCCTAGCAAAAATTATAATTTTAGCTGTTTCTTAGGGATTATAATAACCAAAAATTAGAAAATATTTCTAAGTACCCCTAAGGCTAGGCTAAGCTGAGGTTGTAACAAGACCCCTGCAAAGGGCCCGAGTTTGGCACAAGACGGCAGAAATCAGTCAGAAACTGCAAACAGTCGGCGCCTGAAACCTGAACACCTCATTATGGTAGCAAGCAGGCCCTCTACTTGGAGGATCATGGGACTTAGTAAGGATATAAGTACCTTAATTGGGGTTATAAGTATAGTTACCCTAATTGTAACCCTAGTTACTAAGTCCCATGATCCTTTAAGTAGAGATCATGAATGATACTTGCAAATACTCAGGCCCTGATATTCCTATCTTCGCCTAAACTAACCAGATCCCAGATCATGATACTTCACGCCGCGGGGCTTCTGGCATGCGAACTGACCTCGTGTCAGCGAGATGATTCGTTCGGCTGTCGGAGTTGACGAAGTTTAGGGTCTGGCTTTGAGGATTTGGGGCGGTGCCGCTTTTTGGCCCTAGACCTGGAGACCCTCGAGGTAAAGAATTTTGACAACAAATCCCAACCCCCAAACCCTGAACCCTCAGCCTAAAACCGAAGACCTGAACCCAAAAAAAGCTTGCCAACTCCCTGAATTCCCGCCGACCCCTGTCGCCAATTCGCCCAGGCACAGGTAGAGAGTAAATCTCCATAGGGACGTTGATCTGGCGAATCAAATCCTTGATGCTTCGAATGTGGAAACCCCAAGCAATCTTTGGGCATGCCGGCGAACTTAAGATCCTGTCACCCCGCATAAATTGGCAAAACCATGCGCAACCGAAAATTCGGAATGCTCTTGACAGAAGCTTACGGGTGAAGATCTGAAGTTCAATCATCTTTGCAAGAGCTGCACCTGCAGCCGTGAGACCGCATCAAACACACGACGACTGAGAGCATCCATTTTGACTCAAGGGGTGGCGTCTTCCGGATGTTCCTTCACTGCCTTCAGCAATACACCCTGAAGCCGAAACTTGCAGTGGGACACGTCTTTTTGCAACGAGCTTGCTGACGCCAGGCTGCACGCGAGCAATTCTATAAACGGCAGCAGAGATTTCGACTTGAAACGTAGACCCGCAAACTTGCAAATCCCAAACTCCGTGAAGCTTTTGCACCCATGAGTGTTCAACCTCAGCCCCACACCCTGCACGGGCAGCCCCGCGTCGTCTTTCAAGCGCGAAGCAGACAACCTTAATGAACATTCTGAGAGCCCTTTCGCCCCGGCGAGACCGAATCTAAACCCTCACAGTACACTTATAGTAACCCTATACAGGATCCCTTTAAAGGTAACGGTTCTCTCCCGACATCCCCGAGCCGAGAGCACCAGAGGCCCAGTCCCGGCGGGATCCTCAGAGCTCCCCTTCCGCCAAGCTGCGGCCATGAAGACCATGGCGCCATGAAGACCACGCCCACCAGCAATGGCGTCTGATGTTCGTCAGCTTTTTGGGGCTTCAGATTTGTTGGCATCTCTCGTGGAAGCCATGTCCTTACATACCCGCGTTACTCTCGTTGTTCGACAGTTTTTTCGTCTCCACGCCAACCCGCCGCCCGCACCGCCCCGCCAGCTGCAGTGCACCACAAGCAAGACGGAACAGTCATGCATCACACGCATTCTGACATTGACACAGCTCATGAAGAGGCCAAGTGTGAAGCAAGGCGTCCACCCGCTAGACGAATGCAGACTTGCCGCCAATTTAAAGCTTTCCCACAGCAACTTCTATATAGCCCGTGTGCAAACCAAATTCTGCCAGGAACGTGTCCCAGTTTCGGGCTTAACTCGTTTCAAACGATTTTTTTTTGCCAAGCAGTTCTCCGGAGTTTTGGGGCTAGCAAGCATCAGTTGTCCGGTGGTTTTGCCTGCATTTTAAAGGTTTTTGACCCGGATTTTGATAACCAATCTTCGTATGGAACTGCCGCGGACAAGCAATAATAGTAATAATAATAATAATAATAATAATATGATATGAATAGTTGAGCCGACACATCATACAGCCATGCAAACGGTAGTACCTCACTACGCGCACTACATGTAGAGAACGACCCCTGCATGCAGCCTCTGCGGAAGCACACAGCTGCACCAGTTTCTTGCGGGGGTCGCAGAAGACTGGCTCCAGCACGAGGAAGCCCCTCCCTGACCCGGCCGGGAAGCAACTGCAAGGCTTTTTGCGGTCATTAGGGACTGTGAAGCGTCAATCATGCTCCGACACAGCAGCAGGAGCCCCTTCCACACGAGCTTTGCTGATTAGAGCAGGTTCAAGCTCTGCTCCTTGCAATGTTGAAGCTCTTTTTGCAATAAGGCCAGGTCCTTCTGATTCCTGCACGACCCTGTACACGACCTTAGTTACTTATGACCGATTTGCTCAGCTCAGTCAAAGGTCGCGTGGACGTGGGAAGACTCCCGGACGTCGGTGATGGTGACGATGCGGAAGCGCTCAGAAGTCCATTCAACCGGCAAATCCTGGGGTGCCATGTGGCTGCTGCTGTCGACGGTGTGGTCGGTCATACGAATCATTCGATTGTGGAAAGTGTTGTGGAACACAAACTGGCCGTGATCGCTAGGCACGACGGTGAAGCGGTCCCACGTCCAGTCGCTCCCCAAATCGGATATACGGTAGGGCTTGGAGCCTCCAATCGTCTCACCCTTCATTTGCAGGAAGCGGCCGTGAACGGCGTTGTGGAATGCGACCTGGCCATTGCCGGCGTCCACCACGGTGAAGCGTTCCCAGGACCAGTTGGGAGGCAAGTCGTTGAGGTTCCTCTCCGCGCTGCGCTGGACAGAATCTCCATTCATAGTGATGTAGCGGTTGTGCACAGCGCAATGCAGGGCCACCACAGTGCCGGGCTGCAAGTAGGGCCTCACGGGCACAATCTGGAAACTCTCCCAAGGCCAATGCTCCGGAATGTTCTGCGGGTCCATGTGGCTGCTGGAATCCACCTTGTTGCTGCCGTCATCCGTCATCCTGATCACGCGGTTGTGCACAGAATTGTGGAACATGAACTCGCCGTTCCCAGCAGGGAGCACCGTGAAGCGTTCCCAACTCCAGTCAGATGGGTAAGCGTCGGGAGCCATGGGCGAGCTAACTAGCATTCTCTCACCATCCATCTTCAGGTAGCGGTTGTGGAGGCTGTTGTGGAAGGCCACCTGCCCATTACCGGCATCAATGACGGTGAAGCGCTCGTAGGTCCAAAAGTCGGGCACACCATGAGCATCCTGGTGTGCACTGCGGCCGATGGTGCCTCTCAGCGCGGCTTGACGAGCCGCTTCCTCGGCCAATTCTTGCGCACGCCGTTGCCTCTCCTCTTCCGCCTTGCGTTTGAGTCCCAAGGGATCGAAGGAAAATGATGGCATTGTAAATCTGGATGTCATGTCTCTGAAAAAACCTCCTGGAAGGTTCAGAGTGTGGTTCTGAGTCTGAGTGTGGCTCTCCTTCTCGAGTAGTAGGGCCTGTGGAGCACCTGGGTACATCATGACGTAGCGGCCGTGGAATGGACAACGGAGGGCCACCGTGGTACCCGGCTGAAGGTACGGCTTCACATGCACCACTTGCCAACGCTCCCAACCCCAATTGTCTGGCAAGTTTTTTGGATCCATCTGGGCGCTGTCGTCCACCGTGTGATCTGACATGCGAAGAAGTTGGTTGTGGTGTCTGTTGTGCAAGACGATTTGGCCATTGCCAGCTGGCCAAACGTCCCACCTCTCGGAAACCCAGTCTGCAGGAAGCTGATCTACCAGCTTGTGACCGCTGGCTCCGCCCACTTTGACGAAGCGATTGTGGAGGGTGTTGTGCAAAGCGATCTGTCCATGTCCAGCATCCACCACAGTGAAGCGCTCCCACGTCCAATACTCGGGAAACTCGACCGCCGCCTTTTCCGGACTCCTCTCCATGTTTCCCCCGTGCATCTGTGCGAAGCGGTTGAAAAGCTGGTTGTGAAGGGCGACCGAGGTGCCTGGAACCAAAATCCTCTCCGCTGCCACGACGCGGAAGCGCTCCCAGCCCCAGTCGGATGGGAGCTTTGGAGGGTTAGGGGGATGGTTGCTGTGTCCCACACGGTTCGCCCCCATTAGCAGGAACCTGTTCTGGGTCGGGTTGTAGAAGGCCATCTCCCCGTTGCCGACCTCCACGACCTTGAAGCGTTCAGACGTCCAGTCGTGGGGCAACTCGTGCACGTTCTTATGGTCGCTGACGCCGTCTATTTTCACGAAGCGGTTGAAAAACGCGTTGTGCAGTGCGATCTCCCCGTTCCCGGCGTCCACAACCGTGAAGCGTTCCCATGTCCAGGAATCGGGGATTCCATGGCCGTTCATCTCCTCCGTGGTCGCCAGGTGTACATTTGCGTGCATTTGCAGGAACCGCCGGCAATGCGGGCTGTACACCGCGATCATGGAGCCCGGCTTCAGGGGCAGGCCCCGCGTCTTGCCCATGTCTTTGCCGGAGAAATCGTTGAGTGCGGCGATGGCCTTGAGCTTGCTTTGACTCGACACGAAGGGTATGCCCGAAAGAATGATGGAGAACTGGTGCGCGATGTCCACCAAAGGGATCCTCCTCGAAGGACTGCTGTATGGGCCGAATGCCATCTCCAGGCCCATCTCAAGGATGTTGCCGTTCATGAGGCCTTCGACCTTGAAGTTCACCAACCCAGGGTTCCTGAAGCTGAAGAGCTTGAAGACGTCCTTCCCAAGCTTCTCGGTGCCCATGTGCATGGCAGCCTCCTCGCCGTAGGCCTCGAAGGTCTTCTTGAGAGAGGTATTCAGGTCCACGCCGTAGTCCACAGACGCCAGGTACAGGTTCTCGGACTCCGTCTTCCAAACAGTTTCAGCTTCATCCTCGGAGTTTGAGTCGGACTCCTCCTCTTGGTGGCCCTGGCCCTGGCTCTGGCGGCTGTGGCTCTGGTTGGTCTCCAGGAAAAAGCGGGTGCGGCTAAGCCGGTCATTGGGCACCCTGGTCTCCCCCGTGGCGATGCCTACATCCGTTCGCCAGGTCGAGAAGCCACCTTTGTAGTTCCAAGAGGTGAAGTCCGTGCCTTCGCCGAAGCGCTTGGTCAGGCGCAAGGTGCGGCTGAAGAGCACGATGCCTGCAGACTTCACCTCGGATCGAAGGACGCTCAAGTCGACACCTCCCGGTTGCTGGTTCGGCCAGCAGACGGTGGTGGCCAGCTCGAAGAGAGGCTTCGGCAAGATCTCAAATTGCAAACCCCCGACGAAGGCCACGACAGGCTGCATTCCCAGGCTGAAAGTCACAGTCACGCACTTCTCGATGGCCGATGGCTGAGTGTAGAACGTGTAGCCTTGCCATTTGTCCCAGTGGTCTTTCATCCAGGTGTTGTCGCAGGGCACTGCATAAGGCTCGAGCTGGAGGAAGGGGGGGTTCTTATCGTGGGCAACCTGCCAGTGCTCTTTGTTCACACTGCCGTCCGCGTTCTTGTTCTTTGGGGCAAAAGCCAAGCAAGAGCTGGTGTCCGTCTCCCTGCCGTTGAACTGGGTGAGCAGCTTTGAGGCATGGACGTCGTTGCTGTTGCCCATTTTGTAGGTGATGGTACCGTCGTCGCCGGCCTCTGAATCTCGGGCATCTGTTTGAATGGCAGCCATCTGTTGAACAGGCGCATGCCGTGTGTGCGACTCGATGAGGAGGTTGCTGCTCTTGTGGTGCGTCACCGGCACCTCTCCGATAGCAGGAAACTTAGCTGTGGCAGCCGTTTGCACCAGGGAGGTGCTTCTCTCCATCGCCCTCTGCACAACCGTCCCGGCTACCTTGGCAAAGACCTCGATGACCTCAGGAGAGCGTCGCGCATGCTTGCGGCGACCCTAGCCTATACCCCGGTCAAGCCAAAACCCAGGCTGCGCGCGCCTCAGTGAGGATGTCTGTCATGCGCGTAAGGTAGCTCAAAGGGGGGATCTGCTCGATCATCTTGTTGAGACTTACGGCGTGCCTCCCAAAGTTCCAATCGAAGAGCTTGGCTTCTTGATTCATCAAAGAGATCGAGCATTTGTTGTGCCCAAAGTCGACAAAAAACTCGCCGCCACTCATGCCGACGCTTGGAAGATTAGTGGTGCAACTCCCCGACCAGTCGCCGAAGCCTCGGGAGGATCGGGAGAGTTTCCATCCTGAAACCTCAACACCTGACCTCAGAGGGCGCCGTGACTACCAGTAGCCCACAAAAAAAAACAACCTAAACCCTTAATCCCTTAATCCCTGCGCCCTGAGTACCACCAAACACAAAGGCCTCCTGTCAGGATCGACACGGCCATCTCCAGAGTGGCGATTTTCGTCTTCGCCACGAACTTGGCGGCATCCCCGGCCTCCTTGGCGCGCTTGTAGGCCTCGGTCAAGGCGCCACCGGTGAGCCCAGTGCCGTCCAAACTGCAGGGAATCGGGTATAGGGTTTAGGGTTATTATGGAGGAGTGGCACCGCAAAAGGCGTGGGACTGGGGTTCAGGAGCATACCCTAATGTGGCATATGCCTGTCTATGCTTTTTTCTACGGAATCCAGCACATGACCTGCAAGCCTTATATAAACTCTTCTTGGCAAGCCGCGCCTCTCAACGGCGCTGTGGATTTGACTTGAGACCTCATCTGTAAATCCCTCGATGGCGCCTGTGCCGGCGTCCCAGGCTTTCTTGAACGGGCCCAGCAGCCCTGCATCACGGTGTTCCTCTTGGAGCAGAGAGCCAGATTCTGAAGCCACTCCCTCCTCGACCTCTTCGTGCTTCGGCTTCTTGGGCTTCCGCTTGTGGGCCTCCGGATGGTACTCCTTGTCCGCACGCTGGCGAGCATGCTTCTGGACCACCCTCTTCAGGAGGTCATGAGCTTCCTGCACTCTCTCCTCCGAACCCTTCATCTTCTGTTCCTGCGCCACTGAGACCTCCGCTTCCTCGGGATCCACTTTCTTTTGCAGCTTCTCAATCAGAGCACGCTGTGTAGCGAGCTCCTCCTGCTGCATGCCGAGCTCGGTCTGCTGCAACTCAGCGAGGGTCTCAAGCTGGGCGACCTTGAGCATCAAGAACTCCAAGCTCTTGCCCAGCTCACCCCCGCCCGCATCCTGCGCCCCCTCCTCGCCCTTCTCCTCCGGATCGGGCAGGTGGTCCAACTCCTGAAGATGAAGCGTTCAAGAAGCAGGGGGGTCCCAGGCGTAAGGTTTCAAGATGGTTCAAGTCTATATTATATTATTTTATACTTTATTATATTATATTATATTATGTTATATTATATTATGTTATATTATATTTCAAGTCCGGGTCTTTCGAAATGAGGGAGAAGTCCTTCATGTCACCGGCCATGGCCTTGTCCAGAAGCTCCTCGAGTTTTTCAACCCCGTCTGACACATTCTCAGTCGCGTTGTGAGGGATGTTCGAAAGCTTGTAGGCCGAACTGACCTCAGACTCAGAAAGTCCGACCCTGGCCCCTAAAGTTGGGACCAGAAACTCGAGAGAGCTCTAGAAAAGCCTCGGCTTCATGCTCCTGCGCCAAGGGGCTCTGGCAAAGATGCAGAGCAGCCAAGGAAGCCAGAAGATGGAATTGCTCAGATAAGACATGGGGCCGACTGGGTGGGCCACACTTGCTTCGTTGAAAAAGGTGCGCAGAGAAAGAATGAATCTCTACCAATTGAGGCTCGAGAGGACCAGCACAGCAACGGTGAGCAACGTCACACACCACTTGCAAGCCGACTGTTGCTTCTTCGGCTGGCCACTCCTACTATGTACTATGAGTCAAGCGCCCGGTGCCCGCACCCTCACAATCAATGGGCATGAAAACTTCAAGGTACTGCGCCCCTGTACAGGGTGTAGACAAGATAGAAAGTCAAGACGCAAGAAGGGTTTCGACCTTGCCGCATTCCCCTCACCACTAGGTCATGCACAGTTTCAATGCACATGGCCCGAGAAGTAAGTAAGCATTGCACAATCCCAAACGCCGGCCGATCTCTACAAGCAACAGCTGCACCAATTCACGCCGGGTTGTCACTCAGACGAAACGCGATGACCTGCAATAGACGGGCTCCACCTGAGCAGTATTAGAGTGACGCATCGGCATCCTCTCTCATCTAGCATCGTGACATCATGAAACGTAAAAAGTAACATAACACCATATGATTATACGCAACTTTATATACTACAACATTCCCAATAAAATCTGAATTGGTTAACATGAGCATTAACATTCACAGTCTAAGGCTTCTAGTTCAGCGTCCTGCGGCTTTAAGGCTCAATGCTCAGGGTTCGGGATTTAGGGTTTTGGGTTTAGGGTTCAGGGCGTAGGGTTTAGGCCTTAGGGTGTAGGGATTATTGTTTAGGGTTTAGGGTCTAGAGTCTAGGTTTTAGGGCCCAACACAAGAAATTGCCAAGGTGCTATTGCTGCTGCTCCACAAATTTGCAGCACTCGCGAGCTGCAAAGCCAGTAGAATCTTCCTTGGTCGATCTGCGGAACCTTAAACCACAAAGCCTCAACCCTAAAACCTAAACCCCGACCCCAAGAACTAAATCCCAAACCCTAGACTACCCGAAACCCCAAACCCTAAACGCCCCAACCCAAAACTTAGACCCTGGACCCTGAACCCGAAACCCCGTGGTGGGTGTCGGGCTTGGGGTGCAGGACTCATGCCGTTTCAAGTGAGAAGAAGCGACCCTAAACCAAAGATGTGTCTTTTTCTTGGGTGCGAGCCGGCCGGAATGCTTTGTTGCCCCCCAGCTCTTGGGACATCAGACATCGCATCCTGCAGTTGCAGAAGGGTTTGCAGTTCAGGGTTCTGGGTTGGGGGTCAATGTCAAATCCGCGGGGCTAGGGTCTAGGCTTTTAAAGTTGTAGAGATACCAGTGTTCCGGCTTATCTCTAGCATAGATCCGTACTTGTTGAGCTTCCGTGCCTTCCGTCAGATACAGTGGCTGAGCGCCAAACCCCAACAAGCCCCTCACTCCGACTCACCCACGAACGCCCAAAAGCTCGACCCTGAAGCCGCTTAGCGAGCGTCCGTCTGAACCTACGCCCTAAGCCCTGCACCCTAAAATCCGAAAGCCCTTGAACCCAGGAGTAATGTTCATGATGCGAGGATTCGAATGGGAATATCATACAGGGATTCTGGTTGGAATATTCATGTAAGGATTAAGGATGGGGTATTCTTACTTCTCACTCCAACGCCCAGACTACTTAGACTCCAGGTCCAGGTACAGCTCCAGCTTCTCGTAGCGCTCGGACCTCTGAGATTTCAGGGTTCCAGAGCTTGTGTAAAAGCCTCGTAGGGGATTTGAGAAGGCTTCAGCGAGGCTCCATGGGGTTCTGCGAAGGCTTTCGGGTTCCGTACGTGTGTCCGCGGGTTCGGGCTTTTCATTCGAGGCCTCCGGGCTTTGCATCTCCGGGTTGAAGGGCTCAGGTTCAGGATTCAGCGCCTTCGGACTTAGTCTCGGTCAGGTTGAAGGCAGTTCGCAAGGCACAGAATGTCGTGGCTCAGGAGGAGTGGGAATCAGGGTACCAGGGGGTACCAGGGCACGATGTCTTGCGGCCGTAAAGCTGGGGATCGCACCGGCTCGCCGTCTGGACAGGGTCGATGTCCGAACCCTGCCACTTTATGGTGGGGTTTGTGGGCGCTTTCCGGGCTCAGAGCTTCGAGCCTAGGCTTTGATTCGGTTGGTGTTCAGGGTTGACGGCCCGTAACCTATGCAATCCACTCGCACCTCGGCTTCAAGATGCCGTCTTCTCTGAAAGCCAGGCTGCGCAGTGCAAAGCACTGCTCTGCAACACCTGACTCCCCTGACGGCCTCTGCTACTCTATCCACAGCCCAACCAATTTAGAGAATGCCGGGCCTAAAATCCAGTTTATATGAGGAAGCTTTCATGGACTTGAGATGTGAGGCAAGGAATTAAACTAGGCCTTGCATGAACGCACATGTTCAAATTCTACTACAATTCACCTTCGGGCCTGAATGAGTTCAACAAGCCTTGGGCTACAATTCAGTGTAGACTGATGCAACGATATCTCACATCGCTGGGGATCCTGTATTGTGCAAATACTGAGATACTCACGGAGACATCACTGCACGGCCGCTTTGGGGATGTAGGCCCTTAGGGGCTTAATTTACTTGCCAAAGCTCTCGAGCCTTGACCTGCATCAAGACCATGATGCCAAAGGACCTGTGGGGAGGCTCGGGCTCAGGTTGTAGGGCTTTGGGCTCCGTGCCGCGGTTCACGTCACCGAACAGCCCACAACCCGAACCGTAAGCCTTAAGGCCTACACCCGACACCTCGAGACTTCCGAAACTCGCGTCACGGGCTTTCAACTCCTAGAACGTCAACCCGAAAGCAAAAGAGGATCCTACGGACAAAGGCCCCGGTCACATCTCGAAGCCTGAAGCACGACCCGAGGAGCCCGGCCAGATGTCACACTTCTCACCGTAGGGGATGAGGGTTTAGGCTATTGGGGTTTACAGGGCTTTCGAGGAGTTTTTCCTTAGGTTCTTTTCAGGGTGTTCGGGGCTTCAGGCCCGGCGGGGTCTTACTCTGCAAGGCTGCGGACCTGGCATCGACAGTTCAGCCAGTGCTAGGATCGAAAGCCGGGCTCCCACAGCCCCTTCGCCCGAAAGGCTCGAAACCCTACATCTCGAAGACCCGCCGGAATACGTCTGAACCTTGGCTCAATCGCGAAAGTTCTGCCCAAACCCTAAGCCCCCCTCAGACCACAACCTTCAAGCCTAAATCCTCCCAAACAGTCCCGAAAGTCTGGACACCAAATATATAAGTCCTCAACCTCCCAGTACAACTTGAACCCACAAGCGCCCCGTCCTGACCGCAGACCGGCCCCAAAATCAAGGCACAAAAAACTTCCAGTTCCCAAAGCCCTCAACCTCAAAATCCCTGACACCCAAACCCTCAGATCGCTAACCCCGAAACCGGACTAAGAGCAAGAAAAGCCCCCAGCCGCGAGGGGCCTCTGGGGCTTGGAAAGCGGCTGTGCCGCAAGTCTGCCCGGCTTTCCGGCTCAAGGCTATCGGCGTTTTCGGGTTTAGAGCTTTCAGCTTAAGCGTCTAGGGTTCAAGGCCAGGGATTTCAGGGCTCAAGGTTTGTTGCACGGCTCTCACAAAAACTCTCCAAAGTCAATCTGGTGAATGTCGCAACACTGGGCTCGGGATCGCAAGCCGATCCCCAAACTCCCCAAGTTCGAGGCCGCGTCCTCGTAGAGCCACTCCTCGTCACAGTCTTCCTCCCGGCGAAGAACCTCGAGCCGACAAACTTGGAGGCATAAGCCGGAGGTCGAGGATGCAACATAGGGGCCTTATAGATAGAAATGGGTCTCGGGTATGTTACAGTATAAGTATAACATGGAACGCTAAGGAATAAAATTGGCAGATAAACCACGACTCCCGAACATCGACACCAAGTTCGAAACCATGAACCGACTTCGGGCGAAAGCACCAAATGCAAAAGACAATGGCCGCTTCAAAAATGAAAGGGCGTGCTGCAAAAAAACCCTTCTCACAGAGACTAGTGACTCTTACTACTTAAGCTGTCACCAATGAATCCCAATCCACACAGTTGAGTTTCAATCATTGCGAGCAACTACACCTTGAGGGTGGAGGAGAAAAAACAGGAGTGGACATTCAAATTGTTCAGCAAGTTAGCTTACAGGGGTAGGGGCAGGGGCTGTCTTTTTTGGATTGTCCCGTGGATTCAGAGGTAAAATTGTTCCTGCCAAGTTAAGATCCGGTTGAACCTAGGTTCTCGAATCCAGATTTATGCATTGTTGTTTGAACTTGGGTTTCAACCTGAGTTGCTGGCGAATCTGGATTCGAACTGGGTTGAACCCATCTAGTTTGGAATCCAGGTTCGAACCCAGGTTTAAACCTGGTTGGAAGCAAGGTTCTTTACCTGGATTGGAAAGTGGACCTGGGTTGGGTTCCGGGCTGTCCGTGTCGACCAACAAAAGGAGAAAAAAAATGTACGGCTTTCAAGGCCGAAGAAAAGATTGAAAACAACATCGTGCTGAATAAAGAAGTAAACGAAGCTGTACATTTTCGCTTTCTGAATGCATGGTAAGATCCGCAAATGCGGCGCCTCCCCACCTCCGCTTGCAAAGATCATGTCAAGAGAGCAGCAAGCTTGATGTTGAAATGAGAGACCTGATTCCAAACTTAGGTTGATCGAGCAATGGCCGGGGGGGGGTGGCCGGCTTAAATAGGGTCTATTTCGTAGCTGGCATTCGGGTTTTGTTGTAGTCACATACTCTCCCACGAAGGCCGGCTAGCAGCTAGAGTACGTATTGGAGCAAAATTCTGTTAATGTCAGGTTTGTGTCACAAGACCTGATTCGGACAGCAAGTTAACACAGACAAGTAAACAAGTAACTGACAGCGTAATGCCATGTCAGCAATCACGCATAAGTATACAGCAACACAATACCGCTTCTCTTATTGTCTCGGAACAAGACTCTCCGCACAAGTGAGCAATGGCGAACCAAGCGGTAAGCAGCAACAAATAACCAACAACGCAAATACAGCTTCCTTTCTTGTTTCGGAGCAAGACCTCGAATAGAAGAGCTCTCACGAACAAAG